CACCATAAATTTCTTTTTTAATCTTGCCTCCCCTACGTATACTTTTTTAAATATTTTCAAACTAGCTCAACAATATTGGCGTTAAGTTCCTAAATTGTTACCCATCCTTGCATCTTTATGTTCTTTATTTTCTTATAACTCTCCATATATTCATAAGTCCTTTGGGCGCTTGCCTATTTATGACTGTCCTTTAAGTCCTTAATACTTTGGGTCCTTAATTGTTTTAATTGCTTTAATTGGCGGAGGAGGTTGCCTGAGAATCCGAGGTGGGCATTGTGATTGTAGTTTAGACGACTATTTAGAGACTGATTTTTGAACGTTGAGTTGTGGATCAGACGGCTGTCTAATGGTAGGTCATCGAGTACTCCTCTAACTCTTCCTCATCCTTTCACTCGTCGGTTGGGGCAGCCTATTCGTCGGGGGTATTAATATGGTCCGGTTTGAGTTAGGGACCGTGTGTTAGGATACAGTCATCGGTTTAGAACTGGTTTTGTGGGTCAGGGAAGTGAAACGGCAAGACTCCCCGCCATTTCCCGAGCTGATGTAATACTCTGGTACAGGTGGTTCCAGTGGGTCTATTCTTCCGGTCCGGAAACATTGGAGAAAGAAGCCTGGGTGATTTGTGGATCGCCACATGATACCGAAAATTTGAGAGAGAGAGAAGGGGAGGTCGGTCGTCGTATCACCAGGTGGTTGATGTGGGTCGTTTGGGACTGCCGGCATACCATGTAAATTTGGCAAGGAATAGACTTGCTGGTATGGGCCGACGACCAATATTTTTGCATCTCGGTAAATAAATTTTCGTCCGACTCGTGTAAACATTTTTCGGGTTACAATTACTAACACCGTTTCGCGGCAATGTTTGTTTGTTACTATTCAGTTATCGACGATTATTGCGATGATGTATGTTGGTTTTTAGGTCAATGGTGTGTTTTTATTCCGAACGGCGACAATAGAGCGGCACGCAAGAGTAAGTGGCGGCGCGCGTTATTCCGGTGACAGCCGTTGCGAAAGCCTGTGCAGAAGAGCGGTGAAGGGGATTAGCGGATCGCAAGTCACATTTACAAAAAAAACCAAAGGGAAATAATGAAAATTAATTAATTAATTAACATATATATATATATATATATAGTAATACCAGTTTTGTTTTTTGTTGGGTAATAAAAAATCTTTTACCGAGCTTTTTACTTTTAAAAGTAATGTTGTTAATATTATCAACATTTTTTATAGGTTAACAAAATAATAGTTTTTAAAATGCAATAGTTATAAACTAAAATATAATTTTATTTTTTAAGAAAATATGCAACAACAATATCAATATATTTAACTAAATACATGTATGTACTTAATGTACGATGTAATCAAACTCTAACAGTAAAATACTTCACACGTTTTCATATAAGGTATTTACAAAAGTGTTTCCCGAGTACGGATTGTGGCGAAAACCCAGACGGTTGTAAGCGTTCATGAAGACATCTTTCCAATTTTCTATTATTAATTTTTCCGTATATACTAGTATTTCGTGTAATTGCTTTTCTGGATTTTTCGTTTTGAAATCGGCCTCGAACTCTTCATATGTCTGACTGACATCAACAAAATATAGCCTGCACGATAAGTTAGCACGTAGTTTGCTTTCTAGCCCATCGTAGAACCCAGATAAATTGCTTAAGTCAGTATTAACTTCATTAAAAACCAGGTTTTCGTCTCTTTCTAAATATGTTTCAGGCGTGTTGAGTAGGTATTTATTTAGCGTAAAATCCCTAATGGAAGTAATACAATTCAGGAATTCCGTAGTATAACCCTGGTCACCGTCCGGGTACATAGCCTTTAAATAATTTAACGCGCCATACAGCCGGTTAATTACTTGCAACGATTCAAACGTTATGTCCATCACGAATTGTAGTGAAGCGCATAGGTCATACTCGTGTCAGTTGTGACTCTAAAGCGGACCGCCAGCTCTTTGAGACAAAAGCTCAAGCAGTGCTTTATAAGAACTACAAAATTATACATTGCGTTTGTATACTTACAACCGAGCAAAATGACGGCCATGAAGTATTTTGCTTCGACATTATCTACGGTCACCACCGGGTCATTGAACAGGTCTTGTGGAGAAAAATTGAAGGCATTAGCTTGTCCTGGCTGATGTATACCTTGTACGTTGGAGATTTGTATCCAACCTTCTTTATGTTGACTTAACATACAGTGGAGCTGACGTGCAAACTGTACTTTGCCATCGCACGAGACAAACGACGGATTGATGACACTCAACAGCAACATAATTAGCAAACTGAACGTGTAATTCATCGTGATTTAGAAATTAAACTTTTCAAAATTTAAGAATGTATTTGAAAATCGTTGAGCGTACTTACACTAATATCTAAAAATTTTATGTAATATTTTAAACAATATGAAGAGCTTCACTGGTGCCTTAAATCGTCAAAAAAAAAATATACACTTAATTACTCAGCTGTTATATTATGACTGAACATGATTTTTTTGACGACGAACAATAGTAAAAGCTTGAAAAGTGAATTGTTTTTTGTATTTTTTTCACAAGAACGTGAAGACAATTATTTAGTGACGTCGTTTTAATAATAATATTCAACCGTTTATTTAGTACTGAAACACATTTTTGAAAACACCTTATTTTGTTCTACCGAAGGCTCGGTCTATCCCATTTATATGATATAAATTCTGTTTTTAATTTCGTTTTTTTCTTAGAACCATGACTCTAATGCTCATTTGTCTCGTCTCATGCGTATGTCTATTTAACTAATTGTATTTGGACTTAGTCCTGTTTATATTAAAATTAAATAAATTATAATATATGATTAATGCTTGTAAAATATAACGTTGTCATCATTTAATGTAAGTGGGTAATTATTATATTTACCAAAACCTTATGGCGGAAAGTGGCTGTTTCATCTTCTCTATTAGTGGCATGTACAGTTAGCAATCCAGTTTCTTATATATATATCTGTGGTATGATCAAATTGATAATTGATAAAAATCAATTGACCGCGGTTACCATACTTTAACCACCTATACTACAGGATACAAAAGTTGAGATCAGCTCAACTCTAGCAATAACCCGGTGTGTCATGGTTACTTAATGATACCGTGATTACAACAGCCAATCAGAAGGCGATATAAGGCACACGACACGACAGACGACGCAGCTGTGATGCCGCCTTTAAAGGAACAGGTCGATTCTATGTACCACGATTCTGGGCAAGCTTTTAACTGTTGGGGCGGGATCTGGGACCGTGATAATATAAAACAAATTAAAAATTAAATATTTTGTAGTTCTTATGATAGTTGTTATTTGTTAGGCATTAAATAAAAAATCAAAACGATGAAGGGGAAAGGAAGGCCCTTGAGCTTTCTCTGAATGAATTTTACTGTATTTCATAAACAGATAAACTTGTTATAATTGTAAAATATATAATGATGATCAGAGGCGTAAATCATCGGCTGGCTACAGTACCGATAAAAAGTTATTAATGATATTGCCACGGATTAGATAAAAGCGTTTTTATTAATTAAACTGCGATTGTGGTATCAATTCAAAAAGATTTATGATTTCACGCTTGATAATAATATGATGATGATCCGAGGTACAAAAGTCAAAATCATTTAACACTGTGGAGTTTTAGATCTCTACTTTTTTTAAATTATTATGTAAATTACATCGAGAAAACGTCAGTGTAACGCCGTGGATCTGTCGATTAAAAAACGTAGCACAGTAGTCCACTTGTAATGTTGTATTTATTGTAATTGTCCACTTGTAGTTTATTTATTTGTATGCTACACTATTGCCTTCGAGGCGTTAAATATATATATTATTATATATTATATATTTTTTTTTTTACAAAACATATTGTTCAAAGAAATTAACAGATAAAAAATATATATATTCCTTATTTTTTCATAATATTCTATGTAATTATATTATTTTATAATGGTTCGTTATATTATATTCAATTTTATAAAGGAAATGGTCAGAGTGTATGAAACAAACCTAGTTATTTTCTCTGCTTACATTGTAAATTGACGGCCGCCACTGTCGCACTGTTCTAAGTACCAGGGTTCTATGTTAACTGTTAAGTTTGCTATGCATTGCTTAGCAGCTGTAGCGGATGATGATTTTATGCGACGCATACCGTCAGAACAGCTTATCCTATTAAAAACAATTTTTTTTTAGAATAGGTACTATAATATAAAAAAGCCAAACTTGCCCTAACACACCGCGCTAGAATGTTATTTTGTTAAGAAAAAGTACTAGGGTCAATTATCAATTCATTTGTGAAATACCTAATCCAGTGACACGGTCGGGGCGTGTAAGATTCATCATGTAGGTACATTTAACACCAAACTAATAAACAGGAAAATATAATTTAATATCGTTTGTGGATTATATAATAAGAACATCGTATAAATATCATTTATTATTCATTATATCGTATTATTATTCAACATTATTTATTAAATGATACGAGGAGTGTGAAATGTCATTTTCCTGTTGATACCAACAAACGTCGCTCGCTAGATGGCTCCACGCATACTAGATATGAAGCGTATGCGCGCTTTGGGCGATTTTCTTTTGATAAATTCAAATTTTACCTTGCAACAAAGTTATATCTAATAATACTGTAGTTAATTTTTAAGAAAGCCACTGACAAGAACTTACCTAACTAACCTAATGGCATTTTTCTTGTATTCACGGGACGGCGGCGTTGCGTTTGAGACTCGGTAGATCGCGTTTACATTTGGGACGCGTCGGAAACGCACACATTCTCGGTCAATAGATTAACTCGTTTGCTGTTCAGTCCCGTACGCTTAGCTCGTTGGCGTCGCCAAGCGTGTTGAGCCGTCTAGGCAATTCAACGGGTCCCGTATACCATTTGGCATTTAATACGCGTCGGATACAGATTGAAAGCCACTGCATTTGCGAACGGGACCGTTGCGGCTTATAAGCCCGTGCGATCGTCCCATCCAGCATACTTACCTGGCGTGGAGGTCAACTGTGATCAATCAGGCGGTTCCTCCAGGGTGAGGCCCGGTCATTGCACACGGATCGGATTGACCCCTGCGAGTATCCCTAACGTGGATACCTCGGACGCATAATTTTTGGTAGCTGGGACTGCGTTCGCGCCGTCCCTTACATTTCACAAATATATTAAATTGTTATACTCAAGTTAATAGTTTATATTCGTTCTTGAAGTTAAATAGACTGCGTGACACTATCCTCTTCAGACTCTCTCCCCATTACAGTACACGGCATGTAAATAAATTATGTCAATCTATTGGGTATGTACTAGAGCTCAGACCTCGAATCGAATTTTTCTAATATTCGAATTATTCAAATAATCGAATAATACTATTCGTATGAAAATAATTCGAATATTCGAACAGTAATCAAATAATTCAAATTTTTTAATTTTTTGTCAAATTTATGTTTTTTTTGTAATTATATATCTATATGAATTACTAAAATCGTATTTGTTATAATAAGTAATAATATTTATTTTGTCAAAAGAATAATTTGTTATAATTATATTTATTTTGTTAAAAAATTATTAAAAATAGATCAAGGACACCTTAGTTGTCTCTTAACTATTATTTTGTTTAATCTAATTAATCCTGCAAAGAAAATGATAAAATATTCGAATATTCGAAAAATTAGATCGACTATTCGAATAAAAAATTTGAATATTCGTGCGAATAAAGTATTCGAATATTCGAATTTTTTTTATTCGAATAGTCCCACCACTAGTATGTACTATGTAATAGTATGTACCATTCGGTATATATTGTATTTATTTTTACTCAATGGTTATACTAATATGTGTGATGTGTTAAAGTAATTTAACTTTATTCGTACACTCACACTGTACTCTGTAGACTACAATTTAATTCGTCTAGAAGTCTCAAGTCTGTTTACATTAGACAAAAAATATCGAAAAAATAAAATTTGGAAATTCATTATTTAATGACTCCCGACTCCGGTCCATTTTTTTAAACTATACAATTCGATACAGGTATATAATATGTAATACATATATTATATGATATGTTTAATTATTAAAACACAATATATTGTGTACATAGGCATCTATAGACATACACATTAATTGGCGAATATTCAGTACTCGCCACTAGGTAGTAGCATATAGTATAAAATCACATAGTGTGATTACGATGATTAATTATAATAAAAAAAAACCTAGACGGACGCTATCTGCAGCGGACGCAATGTTGAATAAGATCTGAGATCTGTTGATGAGACACACGTCATTTACCATTTTAGTAAGGGAATATTGCCATAGAGCGCGCTACATATTTATAGAAATGTGTTCCCCTTACATATATTATAGAGTGTATCATTACATGATCAGACGAAAATCGGAATTGTACAATGTTGATTGTTGAATGTACATAATAATATATATAGCCTAAAATAAGTAAATACTTTATTAAATTGATTTATTTAATATTCTATACTGCATCAGTAATAACATTTATAACACTACTTGCATCCTATAAGGGTTATAAGGGTTGGTGTAGCCACCAGGGCGTATAGGTATTATTATAACTGATTATACCACATACAAGTTTGGAAGTAATAAGATTTTTTTAAAAAAAGTTAGAGCATGGTGTAGTTTTAAAATGGAAAATGTATTCATATATTTATAGTTTTTTCTCGATTTTTAAGGGAAAGGTCTGAAGTTTTCAACTTATTAAAGTCAAATAAAAACCTATGTAGTTTATTTATCTATAATAATCAAAAAAGTGTATAGTGAATAAAAACAACAAAATACTTTTAATAACAAGTTTTGAATAAATACTTCTTAACTTATTAGCATTCTATAGACCTATAAGGAAAGGTGTAAATAAGGAGTAAAGTGTGAGCAAGTGGTGCTTGAGAAGTTATGATTAAAAAATAGTAAATATACACTATGTAGGTTTTATAACTGACAATTATGCATTTGTTGTTTGTTTATTATAATTAATTTTACAAGTTAATTTAAAATAATAAATAGAACAAATGTTTGATAAAGACAAGTATCATTAAAAATAGCCATCAAGCCCAAACTTCCATTAATTCACTTACAATATTTTAATTAGGTAACTGTAAATAACATTTAAATATTATATGACTTACTGAAATATAAAAATTATATATCTGATTTGTATTATCACACCATTGTCAACATTGTTATTATCAACATTTTAAACATTAATCTAATAAGTGGCATAGGATATTAAAGTAAGATTGCTTAAAACTGTTTAGGTAAGTACATAATGTTGATAACATAATATTTAAGTAGGTACACGAACATGTATAATTCAATATTATTTTTGTTTACTTATAAATAATTCTAACGAGAAGAGACACCAATACAATTTTTTCGTTAAGCGTAAACGGTTAACGGTTAATTGTTGTTTTCGTCGAATAGTTTCATTTGAATTTGAAATAACAAAAAAACAAACACCACAGTGAAAATCTAAAATGTTAAAAATACATTATATCAGCATAAACGTATTATTACGATATAATGTTACTGAAAAAATAAGTTTACTTACAGACAGTAATTGTCGAAATGACAATTCGAAAATATCATACGGCATGAGTTTAAAGTCTGTATGTAACATGTATAGTGTAGCGTATTGTATCTAAAAAAAAAAAACAACAATATTAAAATTATTCAAAGTCATACTTACTACAGTTAAAATATAAATGAAGCATGAATATCTTTACTGCTTTTATGTCTGATCTGTCGTTTGGCTTGACATTAACTAGAATTCCTTGAATTTTTATAACCTGTAACCATTTATAATACGTTGACAATAATGATATTAAAATTACGGAAAGTGTAAAAGTCATACACAGTGAGCTATCAAAAGTATTTACAACTATATAGAACGCTAATAATGTTCACCAACGGTATATCCGTCTAGCAGTTTCATAAATTACTACATACCTTATTACAAATCATTACTTAGCAAGGTTTTTTTTCTCTTTAAATCTCTTTTTTCTCTAAATCTAACACTTCTTCGTTTGTCTTCATTTCCGTCTATTTTATTTTCTCCATTTTTCACCAACACCACATTTCTAAAGTTTCTAAGGTGGTTTCATCTGTTTTATTCAACGTCCATGATTCACTGACGTTTTCTTGTTCTTAGATCTACATTTTTTTATGTTAGTAATTTACTCTTAAGTAGAAAAGCTTTTTTTGCTTGCCCTATTCTACTTTTTATTTACTTCTCTGAGCTTCCATCATGGCTTATTATGCTTCCCAAATATTTAAATTGATTTACTTGCTCTATTTTGTTTCCTTTAAGGGATATACATGTATTCGTTGTAATCAAATATAAATAATAATCTTCTCATTTATGTGAGAAGCTACAAATCAAAAACATTCGCAAGACATCAAATCCATCAAATAAATAAATTAATCATTCACACATCTAACTCAAACCCACTTTAAGCAAATTGAGTAGTCAATTATAGGATATATTTATAACATTTTAACAATAGCGGCAATTGCAACAATTTTTCCGAGAAAATTAGTGTCCTACATCAGTTGGTTCAATTCTGTATATATATATATATATATATACTATACACAATAAGCCGAACATTGAATCTACTAAATAATAAATACGAAGTGAATTGATATAATAAATACATTATTGTATGCTATAAAATAATACATGTTTGTTATTGTTACAGTTGAGTATAGCTAAAACGTTACCTCCTTTTTGCAATTCTGGCATATGTGAAATAGTTGTGCGACGAGTCTTGCTCGATTGAAGGCCGTAATCATGAAGACGTACGAAAGATACTTTCTCGGTTCCTTAGTGGAGACAAATGCGAAAAAGAATACTTCGCCCATGTTGTATATCACGTAGACGATGATGAACAAGCCGAACACGTCATTGGCAAGGTACTCGGCCAAGTTTTTCAGCTTCTTCCATCTCGTGCGATACGATTTCCATTTTTTTATCGACGTGATGTCGTCGTTTATTTGCCGGATGCCATTTTGGATCATCAAAATGAGCACCGCGAACTGGGCCAGGGGCATCGACGCCCAGACGTTAAAAAACATGAGGTTGCAAATATCGTGGTAAGTGTAAATCTCGAAATTCGCGGAAATCCAAAACGTGAAGAAATGCAAGTACTCTATTGCCACGCTCAACGATATCCAGCCGTAGAAGTACCGCGAATAAAACGACAGCGGGCTTTGCTCGACGGACGGTATGAGGTCGTCCAGCGTTCGCATTGTTTTAGCTATGACGTTTCTGGCGAAAAATATCGAGCATATCGCTATTAGCGGGACAACGGACCTCGTGTAGAACCGGATGATGGTCAACAGCGACATAATATCCATAAGTCTGTCCAGGGTGTACCGTATAAAAAATATGTCGTTAAAAACACTGTAACAGCTGTACGCCAGGTTGAACACAAATAACAACCAGTATTCCAGAAGCGCCATCGTTGAGTCTTCGCACTGAAATCCCAATCCAAACAGCCGACAGAAGAAAACGGTCGGCTTAATGCGTTCGAGCAATTTAGCCATCACTCGTTAAGTCAAGCTTTTTTCCAAATTTCAAAACGTACTCGGTTTCGCGTTTGTCGACTGACCGCAATACGCGTAGGCTGTTACCGTACACTGTTTGCCGAATAAGTGCTTTTAATGGATTCGGTCGAACGGTTTCTCAAGTAGGTATACAACTTGTACCACCGTGTCACACCTGTCCAAGAGTAAAGTTTTTTTTGTATCGTATTGAATTATGCTTTGGAAAATATGTATTTGCTCGATTTGTGTTTTGCCTTCGTCGCATAGCTGAGAAATGTCTCAACTTGTTTTTACGAACGCCTCACACTTTCTGCTGTAGTTTTTTATAGGGTTATCAATCATATCGAGCTTGTTGAAATTTGCCTTCCCGTTTTTTCTACTATGCCTGCACATTGCTTATCTGTTCAATCTAACAAACTGATAGTCTATTTTCGAAAAACCCTATGATTTGCATTATCGAATTAATTAAATTATCGAACGACATATTATTATGGACAATTTGTAGTTGACGTTTGAAATAAATTTAGCCAATATCAATGCTTACAAAAATGTATAACACAAACGACAAAAAAATTGTTGAAAATAAAATAACTTGTATTTGATTTATTACCACGATCTGGTATAGGTGTTCCGTTAAATATAGGTGACATGATATTATTTGAATAAATCTAGTTGAAGTAAATTATTACATTTATAAGTAAGAAAGTAAAACAATATTATTATCAAAATACGACTTACATTGCATCGCAATGGTAAAAGGTTTAATTTTGTAAATGGTCATGTTTCTTATTTAATCTAAATATAGTAATATATATACAATTTATTAATTTACTAATTTTTAAGTAGAACATAATTTAGAACGAAAATGGATAGTGCATGTGAAGTGGAAATTGTGTTTCCATACAACGTATGACACTTATGACTGGCTATATAATATTTTTGCATTCTAAGAAAATTAAGTCTTTTTATACAAATGGTTCTTAGAAAGTTAAACTCCATAACCAATAACAAAGTATGTAATATTAACACTACCTTTTATATAAAAATGGCAATTGTATTTAATTAGGTAATACTAATTCCCACTGTATTTTTAGGATCACATTTACCAATATTTTTACATAATATTATTATAGTCTTGTGAAGTGTATGTAATGAAATCCATTAATAGATTAATAAAAACTAAACGTTTTTGTTTTTGGAAGTGGTTTTCTCCACTTCAGTATTTCACCGTTCCATAACTCATAATAACACATGAACAATTAATAAGCGAATTTTTTTTATTAAACATACTTCCTGTTTATGAAAATGTAACTAGCAAACTTTGTTCTGAGATTCAGTTTTATTTGGTCTGAATAAAGTGTAATTTTTTGACTTACCTTAGTCTTCACTCCGTTCCTGTCAAATACACTATTTTTGACATTTTTATCACAAATTTTTGCTCCAAAAATAGAGGTTTCTTATGTTAATTTTCAAAAAAAAAAATAGATTTCGACCAGTTTTAAATTTCAAAAATTTTTATCATAAAATCAGAGACTTAAATCAAATATTTTCGTCTAACAACGGGAGTGGGCCGAGATTCATTTCAATTTATCCATATATTAATTATAAACTCCGAATAATGAGCTTGAAGCTGCAGTCTTGTTCTAGGAGTGCGATTTTTTTATTTTTATTAAACAGCTTTACTTAAGAAATCTGTTACTTACCAAAAGTGATGGTAATTTCAATCAGCTAATAATCTGAATAAAAATACCAATCAGCAATCTTTAGTGACTAAATTAAAAACCAACATCATTTGAAAATAAATGTATATTTTATATAAGTATAATACAGCGGTAGATTTTTATTTTTTAAAAAACATTATTTTTTAGTCAACAATTAAAAGGTTCAGATGTAAAATTTATCATAAATAGTTTTAATGTATAACTCGTTTATTTAAAATAAATAACAATAATAAAATATTATTAAATTGAAGACATTTTTGGCTCCTTGGGTCATTGTTTAAATTTTCAGACAGCGTGTGTGTGGACATTTCTTCATGATATTACGGCAGAAAACCCTAATTTTTTATAGTAGTTATCAATTTCCGTACTTCGAAGTTTAGTTATGTGTTCATTGTCATGTGCAAGTATTTCATTTGGTGGCGTGTGTGTATATCTCTCGTTGTTATCGAGCAATAAACATTTTTTTTGTTTATAAACCCGTTTATTAAGTTATGAGACGTCTCTAAAGACACTATATTTTGTCGTACACATTCTAGGTCGATGTCAATGTTTTTTGACAGAGCGGTCAGCTAGCATTTGCGATAAGATTCATATCAGTTTGCTCAGGAATCATTCACAAAGTGAAATCTTATCGCAAATGCTAGCTGACCGCTCTGTCAAAAAACATTAACATCAACCTAGAATGTGTACGACAAATAGTGTCTTTAGAGACGTCTCATAACTTAATAAACTGGTTTATAAACAAAATAAAACATTGTTCATTGCTTGATAACAACGAAAGATATCCAAACACGCCACCGAATGAAATACTTGCGTACATCAATGAACACACAACCAAGGCATAGGATACATGCCTTAGTTCCTTATATATCCAACGAGCCTGTGATGTGTTTCAAAGTGGATTTACAGCATTCCAAGCGTTGTTCATAATTTGAATTTCCAAATGTTTACACTGCAATAAACCGAGCACTGCCGGACTGATGTACTTGAACAGCACGGCCATGTACTCACAACAACCGAGCAACGTGGCAGTAATATAGTATTTTTCAGTTAACGGGTCACTGTGTGGAATAGATTGAAAAATCACCAGTTTTTGTCTGAGCCTTGAATTGGACGTTGGTAATGTTTTGCCATCCAGTGGAAGTCATTAGCAGCCTTAGATTGTCTACAATGTGTTGGACGTTGATAAACGCATACAGGAAATAAAACAAAGAGCAAACACGACGCGCGTTTAATCATTTTATATAAAACTTATAAAAATCTTTTCGAAAATTATATGTTATACCAAATAAACTATTTTTTACGGAAAACACAATAATTAGGAATATTAAAAGTACCTAGGTGTGGGTTTTACATCGTTAAACATTACCATTAAACAATGACGCACTGCTATGTGCGGTGAATCATTTATTTGTAGCAAATAGGCTCATACGGGACAATTGTACAAATTCGCATTTACATTTGTTCCATTCGTTTACAATTGCACAGCTTTTTGGATCTTATTGAGAATAAAATAATATTATATGGCAAAGCACTTAATCATGCTTTGTTTAAAATATTATTTTATTTTCAACAAACACTGCTAAAATCCAAAAAGTTGTGCAATTGTAAACGAATGAAACAAAATATGTACATGCGAATTTGTACAATTGCCCCCCCCCCCCATATGGGCCTATTTGCTACAAATAAATGATTCATCGCACATAGCAGCTGTTGTGCTCCGACCCGCTTGATCTTAAGTTAAATATGACCTAAATAACATGTCAACAAATGCATACATATTTAAAAAATTAAACTCCAACATTGGGATTCTAAATTAGCAACGCTTATTGGTATTAAACGCATGAAAACTAGTTGTACTCCGACCCCCTTTAAGGGATAGAATTACCAAGTTTTCACAATGTATAGAGAAAAACTTTTCCCATGGGGTGGCGTTTCTATTTTTTTTTAAATCTATACTCAATATTTTTTTGTAAAAACCATGCTGAGGTCCCCTTAAACGATATACTTATCATTCCATTATTGATAAGTATTTATTGTTACAGGTTTGACTAGCGAATTCGGAATACACTTTCGATTTCTGTTTAGAATGAATGAAATAAAAAAAAATTTAATTAACTGTATTAATATTAAGTTGCTGTAAATTTACCCGGAACTTTATTAATACCTAACTACAAAATGTTTTCCATAAATAAATAAGCTCTAGGTTATGTCTAAAGGGACATTAAGAAGGCTGTATTTATAAAAAAATGTGGTTTTGATAAATTTTAACTGTGTTGATTATTTTTCGGTTAATTACTATAAGCTTCTATGTATTGTTTTTTTTTCTAAAAATTTTAAAATTGAATTTGACATTTTTTCAACATTAAAACTTATTTTATTTTACATAAAAAAAGGAAAGTATAAAAAAATCCATTTCCAACATAAGCTAGTATAGTACCAAAGAATTCATATATTATATTATACCTATTTAGTATTTACAGAATTGAAATTAGACCATCCTAATTAGTTAATATGTCTGGCTTTTTGGTCTAAAACGTTCAAAAATAGATCACTTTCAATGCCTCTAAGGTGGTCTTTTTATGGGTAAATTCTCGTTTAACTAACTAAAAATCTCATAAAATTCAGTTCCCAACCCCACTGTACAGCTTTTTTTGTTTGTTTTGAAAAATACTATACTTAAATTATACCTTGTATTAAAATCACTTGTTTTTAAATTTAAATTTTATCATTAGCCTCTAAATAAATTACATGAAGTAAATAGATAATTAATTTAATACTATTTGCATATGGCTTAACATGGCACTAAGTATTCCGGATAAAGAGTAAAATAATAAAACGTTAAATTAAACAATTGCACAGTTTATTTTAAATCCACAGTGGGAAAAACAATTAAATATTATAAATATAGTTAAAAAATAATCATCTATTGTTACGATTGGTTAATTTTCAAAGTTACAATAAGTGTCCACAATGGTGTTCATTTACTTATTTTATGTTAAATTTAAATTACATGTTACATAAAAATATATATTGGAAAAACAAAAATGAAATGATACAATATTGGCACTTGTAAATAGTAGATGTGGTGATTTTCATTAACCATTGGAAGCTATTTACAATTAATAAATAATAATTATAATAATAATAAAAAAATACGATAAATAACAAATTACTATTACATAATATTAAATTGCATCAACTTTTTTTTTTAAATACTTTTTAATTGCGAATGGCACTCGAATCTAAACATGTTTTATACATACTTTTAAACATTATATAATATGTATACGGGATGGAATCACATTTCAACATTGAATACCGATTAAAAAAAAAAAAACGAAAAAACATAATGGTATAAAAGAAAAATACAAAATTTGAAAATTGTACATATTTATATATATAGATATATTATATATAAATTAAAAAAATAATACTTTATTTTTAAACTTAATTTAATAACTAGACAGGATTAATTAAGAGATTAATCATTGGTTTGATTATATAATAATAATAATAAAAAAAAAAAGAATTATTTATTATTGGGTTAAGTTCAACGTTATCAGATGGTTACAGTCGGAAGGGTTCTCTTGAATCCGGCTTGGAGTTCCTTCTTTTCGTTTCAGACGCGTTAGACGGTTTACGGGACAGGCTTGTCGACGTTGGCGTGGCCAATGGCGATTGCAACCTAAACAAGAAAGCAAACAAAATTAGGAAGAAAATAACCATAGATTTTTGTCAGAAACACAAAAAGCACAACGACCAAGACAATAATAACATTAATACTATCATATATTATTCGTGCAACAGCAGATAAGCTTGTAGTGAAGGTTTTGAATATTATCATGTAAACGACATAAACAAATACACGAATAACTTATTATTATTATTATTAACATAATGAGGTTGAACACGCCAAGTGTAACTTGGACATTCATAACAGGCATTACATGCGGGTTTATTCTAGAAATATAGGTTTTGCAAGCAGGAACACAACAATAAAAAATAAATGTGTAACATCGAGTGAAATTATTACAATATTACAATAATTAAACATATTGTTTTTTAATTGTAAACATTTACCTATTTTATATGCGAGTATGATATTCTGTTAATTTTAATTATGTTGTCAATGTAAATTGTATGCAACCTGATTAGTTACTAGTAGTACAAATACAAATAACTGTTAACACTACGCCTACGTTTTTAAAGTATTTAAGATAAAACAAAATTATCTGAAATAAAATGTATTAGCTGTAATAAACGACAAATAAACGAATTATCAAACAAATAGTTTTATTCAAAAATAAAAAATGATTTATCATACGAATAATGATTTATTATTTAACGTTCGGTATAAATTTTGCCCAACGCTGTTCGACGGCATTGCGACATAGGAAAAAACAAGCATTTGCGGGGGCGGGGGGGGGGAAAGGGAGTAAGCACACACACACACACACACACAAGAAACACAAATATGCCATTTTTTGGGCATTAGGCGTGCTTTACCCGGAAGACGGTGTCGAAGACATGGGCGACACCATGGGCATTGTGGAGTCGCGCGACGCCGGCTGTCCCAAGAGAACGGGTATTTTGGAACCTTGGCTTCGGCTATAGGCGCACGTAGGCAAATGTAAAAAAAAGAAAAAGTATTTTATTTTAATTTCCCACGATACGTATACTTTACACGATACGCTAACAAAAGTGTGGGCAAAACGCGATGCCCATCTCTGTGCACTTTTGCAGTGCCGCAACCCAAACCTCGATGTGCATACTTTTTTGTCGTTTGCAACCAAGCGAAAAGTGTGCGGAATCAGGCACATAATAGAGTAGACGCCAACTTTTTATTTGTACGACTAAACAAATAATTTAGAGCAAAGGTAAACGTAACAGAAGGCAATTGGATAAGGCCTTCGTTGTAATAGGGTAGCCGACTGCGATGTACAGAAGAGGAATGGTGTAAAAAAAAAATAAGTACCACCAGAGCTGACGAAAAATTCCAAACCCCAGAAATATGCGTTTTTTTAGGAATTATATTGTATACTCGGAATTGGGTCAGAGTTTATTTTAAAAGAAATCAGGTTTTTGTCAACTCTGTCGACCCACACGACTGTCTACCGGGGCGTTGCTACTCTTTACTGGTTTTCCCCTTTCACCCCCCACTTAGTCGCGGCACTGCGATCTTAACACTACAAGAAAGAACATGCTCAAAATAATAAAATAATTAATTTTAATTTTCTTATTAACTAATTAACTATCGTTACGTGTTAGTGATTATTACCTAGAACTGGAGTTAGCCAACGTGGGTATACTCGACGACCTGTGCATCGAGAGGGATGACCTGGACAGTTAGTGAGTTAAAAATGTGGCAATTAGTATTATATTAATATTTTACATAATTTTTGCATTATTATTAATCGTCGATTATTGTAATTGTTATTATTATCGAGTAAATCGAAAAACGTGATCACCTGGTGGACGACGCGTTAGACTGGTTGGCGACCGCTGACGGTGAACGCACTCTGCCGCTGACCACTTGTCCGTTGGCCTTGCGTGAAGACGTTGATGTTTTGCCTGGCGTCAGTCTGGGGATGCGGCTTGGCGTATTCGAATCTACAGGGTCAAGTCACATGCGTATTACAATAAATAGGTATTGGGCACAGCAATAGAGACAAAGCTATTCGGATTCAGCGAGACACAAATCTTGTTCTCGGCCTCGTTTTTCCCTGTTCCTTGTCAATCCTCACACCTTCTACCTTCTTTGTCGGACTACATCTACCTATTAATTCATTTTGTCATGAATATGTCTTATGGCTGGCGGTCTGTCGAAAATTTCCCGACAGCGATAAGAAACAGCTGATAATGACTCCTGGTAAGAGATCAGCGACAAAGTAGGGCAGGGGATAGTAGCTATAGGGATGGGAGGAATATGAACATCAACACGATCCTTATTCTTACCATAAGTAATATTATTCACGATCTAATGTTTTTCCTTCAAGGGAAACATTTAAGAACTTTCTCAACCGTTTTATGTTCATACGCCGTTTTAATTATCATTGCTGATATCGACGCAGCTCTCAAACTACATTTTTGCGCACTTTTTAACGTTCTGGTTACTTGAATCCAATTCCGAACACACAATTACAATTTTTTTTTATCTTTTGAGCCCTTAGTAAGCACTATTCCCAAATTTCCAAAACTTTCTCATATTCGTGTATCTCTATTACTAGATTTCAATATCATCCCCGTGTTACCCGTTCGATTCCGTCGACAATGCGACTTACCAGTGCTGTCCAGTGACAGGTTGGATCCGTGTCTACTGGGCGGCTTGCTTCCTTGACGACTCTGCGGCCTGCTTGCCGGTCGACTGGCCGGCAGACTGCTGGTCATCCCGCCGACGCTGGACTTCCTGGTTACCGGCGTGGATCCCTTCCTGGCGGGCGTCCTGGAGTATGGCGACGACTCGTTATCGCTAAGCGAATCCGGAGTGCCGGCCGTCCTGTTGACGCCCGTCTTGCCCATTGGCACGCTTCTGGCGCTCCTCTCTCGTACCTGTACGTTTCCCACGTTATAACAATTAGACACATCCGGATACGAACAAAAATAATGTACTAATAGAACACGTCGCTGGTGCACGCTGAGTAGTAAAAATCGCATAAAACTATGTATTGTATATCTCTATATATATTTTTTTTTTTTTTACAAATTTGTTTTACCCAAAACGTGTTGTTTTGCCTGCCGGGGCCCATGGCTAGCGGATACGAGCACGGTAACGACTCTCGTTGTCTTAAGCTCTCGAATATCGGCATCAACTCTCTCAAAAACTCTTCGGCTGTATTCGTTAAAATATAAATGAAAAAAAAAACAAAACGGTTCATAAAAAAAAACGATCTCATCGTCATTCGTTCCTCGGTCCGCGGTGCCTCAGCTTAACCGCCCACTCGGTGTAACGTTTTTATTGTTTCTTAATATGCTCCAAAAAGAAAAAAAAACCCTTGAGAAATGTTTTTTTTTTTGCACCTCCGACCACCTTGGCGACAGAGTACAGCAATAACGATAAGTAGGTGTAGGAGAAAAAAAATAAATACAATACAGCAGAAATAGGTACGGTGACGATGATTCTGGAGACCAATCACCGTCACCCGGACAGACCCCGGAAGTAGAGCTCGGTACCGAACAACTATTACAATATAGACGTAATAATACAATTATTATACTGCGATTAGACATTACAATACAATATGATATGTTGTACTTGGCGCTAACTAAATACTAACAAACTATGCACTCGCAAAAAGAAAACAACTGAAAACAGCGGCGGCGAAAAACAAGTGTTATTGTACGATTTAAAAAGCCAAAAAAAAAAAAAAAATGTTCACACAATGCAAAAATAATAAAAAAACGGCGGCAGTGCTCGATTTGCTAGCCGTGCCTCTTACTTGAGAGATGTATAAAAAAAAAAGTACCTTTATAAAAATTATAGTGTTTTTTTTTTTAAATTGTACTTTTTTGCAATTTTTTACCTTGGTGATGGGCCCGGCCGTGGATCCGGACCTCGGTTGCTGTTGGACGTTGTGTTTGGGTTTGAACGCGGACATGCTCTGTGACACGCCGTCGGCCAAAATGAACTGCTCGCGGAGTTCGATGTTTGTGCGTCCTTTGGCTGCGTGAGTGCGAATAAATAAGGAAATCGTATATGAGAAACAGGCGGTGAGAAGGAAATAATTGGTTATAAATAAAAAATTAAAAAAAAAAAACAAAAAAAAACTCATCACAGTGAAAAAAATGATAATATGTTAGTAATGGTAACAAAAACAAACAATATTAGTGTATTAGTGAAAACAAAACCGAAAAATAAATAAATAAACGATCAGTCAAGATGGTGATATGAAGCCAACAATCCGGTCGTGTCCTCACGCCGAGCTGCTCGGTCCGCACCGGTTGAGTTTTTAGTATAATATCAGAGACAGGATTAATTTTTTGGTCACGACGAGAGTGAACACGAAGGTGAGGATGACACAATCAACGCGAAAGCGATGGGAGAAACACGAAAAAGAGATCACGGACGAAAAAAAGGAACACGGGCAAAAATACTTTTTCGGTTGATACCAAGTAGGTATCAGAGTTGGGCAAAATTTAACAAATATTTGATAATTAGTGAATTTATAAATAAAACATTATACGCTATAATTTCATAATTATTTATGTAATAAATAAAGGATAAAGAAAAAAAAGTATTTGTAAATCATAAATAAATTGTGGTGACGAAATAGCGAATAATTTTTTTCAAAAATTATTAAATTAAAATATCATTTTTATGCTGTAAAAAAAAATCTAAAAAAAAAAAGTCGAATAATGCCCAACTCTGAATGACACCGTGGAGTTGTTTGGAACGAAGAAAATAAATATCCTGTTTCCGATACTATAAATATTATGTCAAAAGCATCATGCATGTTAGTCGAGTACTGTAAAAAATCTTCGAGTGGACTGCAAAAGGAATATTACATTTTATTTGTTTGCATCCAAAGGAATTTGGATCAAAGGTTCGATTCGAAAATACTGCGATCGTCATACTTTTTGTTGGTTATATAATAATTATTATACTAATTAAGCGTCTTTACTGGTACTACTGATTTTTAACTGTAATATTTTACATAGCGGTGGAATATACTAATTTTTTTTTAAAGCGCACACACAGCAAACATAATTATAATACAATCCACTATAACAAATGGCCGTACACGGCTTATACCTAGAGTCTGACGGCCGGTCGACGATCAACAGTTTTTTACCTTTTGGAATAAGAAAAAAAGTAAAAACGCGTGCAAAAAAATAAACTTTTTAATAATATGAAAAAAATGTAAAAAAATAAACACACAAAACGCAATTTTAAAAACACCGATAGCGTTCATACAGTTCAATTGAATCACGCTGTAAGGACACCACGGTTCGTGTTGATCAGGCACAAACGGGTTGGGCATTGGCATCATTTCGACTGTTATTTTTAATTCAAGCAAAAAAGCCCCCAAACAAAAAAAAAAGGATAATAATAATAATAATAAAAGAATGCGAAACACAAAATCAAAACAAATAAAAAATAAAATAACGGCCAAGGAAACGGAATTTGTTGACGGGAACGGCAAAGGACAAAAACAAAAAAAAATATGAGATTAAAAGTTAATTACGTACTTTGAAAACCAAAAATCTTCAAGTGTTAATACAACGATAATAGTTTAAGCATGCGTTTTAGTAAAACAACGTATATATATATATATATATATTTATTTATTTATTTGTATAATTTCTCAAGAGCTTTATATATTTATGTAAATTTTTTTATCAACTTTGTTGTTATTTATATTTTTTTTTTTTTTTAGATTGTATTCATAGACTTTTTTATATATTTTTTTTTTGGTTAACACGATATACTTATACCATTGTGTGTGTGTGTTAAACGAGGCACCGGTTAAGAGGATACTAAAATAAAATTGAATTATTAATAAAATAATTTTTTATAATAGGTTAGATTATCATAGTATATAATATTAGTTAATGTAAAATTTTTGTTTATCCCGAGCGGTTAAGACCCATGGGTTAAATACAATTATAATTTTTTAATATGTTTGTTCTGTAAAAGTATCGGGTGACTCACCTCTGCACGGGTCATTCTTGACCAAGAATTCGTCGAGGGCTACCCATCCTCCGCCCACACGCACCATGACGGTGGATCGCAGGATACGCACCAGCCGGAGCTTCTGACTGTCTCCAAACTATAATCAAAAGATGAAAGTTGTTTATCACCACATTTATGGCTACAAGCCCAAGCGATCTGCATACCCTGTATCTTCCTTCTCCCACTTGGAACACCCGGAACTTCTGCCGGCAAGTACACAACATCACAAGACGTTTTACTTCGTCGTGGATCTTCTCGGCTTCTACATCGGCAGGCTTCTTCTCTTCCCAGTCGGGTCGCAGGGCCGCTATAAACTCCTTCCAGTCGATCAGGCCAAGCCCGTCGTGATCGAACATGTCGGCCACGGCGTTCATTTCCAGCTTGCTCGTGTCAAATTTTGTTTTCATTATGCCGTCGATAAAGTCGTCTCTTGGTATCAGTCCGTCATTGTTTTTGTCCATCTTCCTGAACAGATCTGTGAGACGCGACTTCTTGTGGTTCATGAATTTTAAGAACTGGAATAAACAAAAAAAACGTAAGCAACTCGTCTCAAAAAAGTAATCTCAAATGGTGTACATACGCGTTTCCTCCATTGGTCCCACGAGAAGTTTCTGACTTTTTCCACTTCCCTTAAGTAGTTGAGATGTTCCTGTAGACGACGTTGCCGTTCCCAAGCCATCAGCCACACATTATGCCATTTGTCCCACAGTTGTCGGCAACGGGCATTGCGCAACAACGGCTCTTCCACTTTGCTGTTTAAAGAACAAAATACTCCACGTTAATAATGAAAATCTGATTATACTAATATATTAGTAGAACTTTAATTATTACTTATATTTTTTAAACTGTTTTTCGGGAATTTATAAGTTTAATAGATATTTAAATTTTGTAATAATGTTATGGTTTTTAACAAAAAAATAACAACGTTATACAATTTTTATTAGAAAAGTTCTAACCTGACCTTTATTTGGATAGATAAGTCACTAAATCCAGTCATATTAATTATGATGGTAAAAATTATACATTAAAAATTTAACAAAAAAAAAAAACACTAGGTACTTATTTTTAGTTAATTATATTGATGAACTATAAAAATTAAAATAGATTGTATTAAAACAAGTATTTATATAATAAGAAAATATTTTATATCAGAAAAAAAATCTCAGTACTTGTTATTCTTGAAATTTTATTTTAGATAAAGATTATTTGAAATCAATTTATTAAACGATCATTAACACTAACCTTCCTTTAGCTGGGAATCTGGGTCCGATATGCGGCAACTGGTCAGCGGGTTTGTCTTTGATCACTGGACTTGCTCGACTAAACAAAAACATTAATATTACATAACGTTAGTTATCAAGAAGTAAAAAAAATGTTTTAAAAATACTCTGAGAAGTGGTTAACAAAGTATTTTAAAACATGGGTTGATTCCAAAGCAGCAAAAATTATCTTAAAAAATACCAAAGGTCCATCACTACAGGAAACCGCAGTTGGAAGCCCGTTGGCTTTTATACAATTTATACTACGACTATGAAAAGTGCAACGTGCATAATGTGTTAATACAAACCTGTTTTTGCGGTGATCGGATAAATCATGTACACTGCCAGCTAAGTCTTCACGACTGAAAATGTGCAAAAAGTGCGTTCTTATCAATAAACTAAGCGTGCATATTGTGTGACATTACAAAGCAAAAATATAAAATATAAAAAAGTCCACAAACTATCTCAAACGTGCAGATTTCTAAACACAATAATATTATTTTTAATTATTTATTTTTTACTCTAATAAAATTTTAAAAAATATGTCCAAATTTATTCTTATTATTAGAATCAATGTAGAAAATTTCGCACCTGACTGCTGACGTTTTCTTAATAGCTGATGGTTTTCTGCCAGCCGGAGCGGCCGGTTGCTTGGCTTTGCATACAGCGTCTACTTCAGATTGTCTCTTGGCAGTGTTTTCCATAAATTCACGGTGTTCTTCGATCAGCTTCTCGGTCACTTCAATACTGTCGGGCAAAGATTCAGATTCCAAATCCAATAGTCGATTTTCCAATTTGGTCAACCAGGCGAATAGTTCCTCCAACAGGGAGTCCAAATCTTGAAGTGACTGCAAGTGGTCCATGAGTTTTTGTTCACGCTACAACGGAAACAAACAATTGTTATTAATGTTACAAATTACGGTGTATGTATGATTTTAACAAACGAAAATTCTACCTGTTTAGCCCAAGTCCAAACTTCTTCCCATCTGGACTGAATTATAGTAATCCAATGCTTTATCACATTGATAGCGTCGGGATGAGCTTTTTCCAAGATTTTCTGCGCCAAATTAACCGTAGAGTCTTTTTCGTGTTGCTTGTCGGTCATTTCTTCCATGAACTTCCTGTGGTCGTTCAACTGTTGCCTAGTTTCTTGCTCGTTATCCGGCAATGGTCCGATAAACCTAAGTTTCATTTCGGCGTCGGACAACCACTCCAACAGCAAGTGCACAGATTTGTGCAGCTGTTCAGCCTGCAAATGATATTAAAATAATATATTAATATTATTATTTCTTATAATATCGTAGAAAACAAACAACAGTAGGAACGCTCACTTGTCTTAACGCGTCTTCTAGTTTTTCTGTTCGCTTGTCACATAATTTACTCGTTCGGCTCCATTGATTTTCCAAATCGTCTAACTGAGATTGGATAATGGCGCGGTCGCTGGGACTGGCCTTGGACATCAGGTCTTTGCCAGTTTGCTTCACAGTTCTCATTTGGTCGTGACGTTTAGACAATGACTCTTCAAACGCCTAACAAATTAACAAAATAAAGTTTTAATCCATTGTGTGTGTGTACACATAAAAGGAAGACAATACAAATATACATTGCACTAATATTACCTTGTGCTGTTCGACTAGAGCCATGACGGTGTCCAAGTCTCCGTGCACCGGTCCATCATCGATTAACCTCTTTTCAGCCTTTCGCAACCAATCCAAGAGCGCTTCCATGGCGTCCTTAAACTGTCCGCAGTACAATAGGGCCTCTTCCAATTTCCTCTGTCGGTCTACTGTCTTGGTGCACACCAAATTCCATTTTTCCTTCAACTCGTTGATCATTTTGTTCAACGGTTGTTCGTCACTCTTCGGGGCTTTTTCCTTTAACGCTTTTCCCATTCTCATGGTGGAGTCGTAAGTCGCTTGTTTAGCGCTCAATGCACGCTGTACATCCCTGTGCTTGGCCAAACGTTGCTTGATGCGGTCAGGATCATTACCGACAGTGGCGTCCTGGGCTAATTCGTCCAAGTTCTTTTCTGTGTTGCTCAACCAATCCATTAGGCCGGACCAAGCTTCGTGGAACTCACGAGCCTCTTTGTAACCATGATCGAGCGCTCGGGTCCTCTCTGCACTCTTGGAAACGACACGCTCAAAACGATGCTGAACACTTTAAGTAAGATAAATCCAAAATAATTAATAAACGCATAACACACAACGTTATAATATAATAGTAATTTACCTAATCAACAAGTTTTTGATAAGGATGACGTCTTGTTTTTGCGAGAAATACTTCAAGTGCGTCCCCTTTTTGTCTAAATGAAGCATAACTTCCCTGTGAGAGCTAACATCCTTTTGGAACGCCTTGTGGTCTTCAATCTGAGATAATATTGTTGGTAGAATACGGGACACAGGTTTTAGGTTAGACAGAGTTTTCTCAGCGTCGGTCAACCAATCGATAAAGGCCTGAAACAAAAATTACATTAACAAATATTCCTTATTATAAGTTATACTGGTTGGAGAGGTGTCAATTAATAATTTATTTATATTTTTTATAACTGGAAAATATTGACAGTATACATGTTATAACTATTACATTACAATGATAATACAAATGAATAAGATATTTAAATTAATACATACTTGTAAAGCATTGTGGAACTCGGTGGCTTCTTTAAGAGCAATTTCTAGTTTGATCTTTTTATCGTTTGCTCTAGCCGTAACGCTTTCCCATCGTTGTTTCAATGTTTTCAAGTTCTGTGCCAAATTACCAGAGCCAGGTGATTTCTTCAGATACTCTTGTCCTTGAGCCAAAACTGTTTCTACTTTAGGTCTATTGGCTTCCAACTCATTGTACACTTCCATAAACCGTTCCAGTTGTTCACTAGCCGTTTCGGGTAAACCACCAACGGGCTTGGATGTGGCAATAATGCCGTCAACTTCTCCAAGCCAAGATAGCAGATCTTGTATTTCTGCAGCGAATCGTTGAGCATCTGAGAGGGCATCTTCCAATTCTAATTGACGATCAGCCGCCTTTTGCAAAAGGTCTCTCCAACTTTTGTTGAGCAAATTGAGTTTGTCTTGTGTGCTGTTGGCCTCAGCTGAACCCTTGCTGCTCTCAATTAACTGGCGGCCAGCGTCATTAAGTGTATCCACGCTAGACTGGTGGGCCTGAATGTCGTTTACTAGAACTTTGAGTTTAGCCAGCTCGACTTCAAGGAGCTGTGAATCGCCAGCTACAGGCTTCAAGTCTTTGTCCAAAGTTTTGTTGGTAGAATCGATCCAAGCGAGGAGTTCTGCTAAAGCATGATGGAACTGTCCTAAACGCAACAGACTGTTTTCGAGTTGACGTTGGCGTTCGACAATACCCTTGAGAAGATTTTCCCATCTTCGGTTTACTTCCGACAAAGGTTGTTTAAGCGCTGCTGCTTGTTCAGCCGATGTTCTTTCCGTAAGTTCCTGAGCTTGTCTGCAATTCAAAATTGAAAATCATCAAACAAAGTTACATATCAAAAATACCTTATTCGAGTTATTCATTTTATGTATTACCTAGTCAGCGATCTTTATAGAAAGATCAAATTTTAATAAATTCCAAAGTGAGCAAGTGGAAGAATAAAATTTCAACGGTTAAAAATAAATAGTTTATACAATTTTTTCTTTAAATAGTGTGTTACATTACCTGTTCAAAGCTTCCACTTTCACCATTTGTGGGTCAATATCTGACTTGAAGTTTTTGAGTTCGCCTATTTGTTTTTTAACAGCTTGAATGTCTGTACCCAAAGGTCCCAAGTTGGCAAACCTGCGTTCAGCTCCGTCCAAAAATTTGAGCAAATCCTTTAAAAAAACCAAAATGAGTAAACTAAATCACTGTTATGATTAATTAAATAAAAATCGTACTTGTAATGTTTCGTGGAACTCCATAGCTTTATCCATGGCTTTTATTAAGTTTTCTTCGCACTTGGCGAACAATGCAGTTACAGTTTCCCACGCATTGTCCAAATCTTCGATGTGCTTCTTCACTTCTGGTTTGTCAGGTTCGCCACAGACTTTCATCAACTTTTGACCACTGGCACGACACTGTTCTACTTCAGGTTTGGTCTGGTCGATTTCCGCTTTAATTTCTTTCAACACGGCTTTTTGTTTTTTCAACATAGCTGGTTCGACGGCAGGCGCCTCCTGGGACAACAGTGAATCTTGGATGTTCTTCAGGGTGGCCATAACGTTTTGTAATTCTTCCCAGAATCTTTCTGCCAATATTAAGGCCTCTTCCAGGCTTCGACCTCGGTCGTTAGTAGCTTCTTGCACCTCATTCCACAGGCTGTTGAGACGATCCAATTTGCGTTTGATGTCCTTGACGGCTGGATCTGAAGAGTTGGGCGCTTTGTTGATGACGTCATTTGCTGCTTTTTTCACAGCCTGGAATGCGTCAGCGCGCTTGTGAAGGTCCTCGACAACCGCGTCGTTCTCGTCTTGTTGGTCACGGATTTTGGGCGGATGAGCCGATATGGGTTCAGCACCAGATACTTGTTCAGCTGTGTTCTGCAAGGCCCTCAGCATGCCTTCCAGTTTATCGCTAAACTGGCTTGTCTCCTGTAATGCTTTCTCCAAAGCCTGCTGCCTCTGTCTGAGTTCAGCTCTTAACGCATTGTATCTGCTGTTGTCGCTGTCTAAAATGTCCTGAATTTTCATTCCTTCGTCTTCATTGCATAACCGGATCAGTGCTTCTCCTGTTTTATTCAACTTGTCTACGAGTGGCTTATGTTCGGATATGGATTGTATAAATTGTTCATTCTTGTCCTGTTGCTGTGCAATCAATTCTGGTCTCAAGGCCGGCATGGCCAACATCTGCATTTGTCTTTCCATTTCGTCCAACCAACGTGACAAATCGAAGTGCGATTCTTGGAAGTGTAGAGCGAGCGGTAATGCCTGTTCGAGCACGCTCAATCGTTCGGCACTCAGCGACGATACTGTTTCCATTACTTCACGCAAGTCTTCCATCTTTTCTCGCATTACACTAGCATCGTTGTTCTGCGTTACTTCCCTGAGAACTTTTTTGGCCATGGACAATACGTCTCTACCTCGGCCCTTCTGGCTCGAGATGTCGTCGTTGAGAGCTTTGTGCTCTTTGAGTTGTACACGAATGATATCCACCTCACTGCTCGGTGGTTCCGCTTCTCTTAATTGATTTTCTACCTCACGGAACCAATCGAGGAGATCGTCCATATCTCCTATCACTTCGAGCGACCTTTGTTTGGACAGCTGTATGCGTTCGGCTTTCCTCTGGATTTGTTCGCAGATGGCGTCAAATCGCCTGTTGTCTCTGGTCACCAATCCTTCGATAGTAGCAGCACCTTCGCCAGGTGACATCTGGCATAGTTGTGGTCCAATTTGATTGATACTTTCCAAAACTGGACGGAACTCTGCAAGAATAAAAATGTAATTCGATTAGAAATTCGGTATAAACAACATAAATATTCATGACTCACCTTGAATGTCGAGTTCCAAGTTATTAATGTCTTCCTCTTTAGGTTCGGCCATCTGTAACTGCGATTCGGCGGACAACATCCAATCGCCCAAACGTTTATGAGCGTTGTGGAACTGTTGGACGAGTGGCAACATGCCTTCGGCGTTTTTCAATAGGTCTGTACCGGACGCCACCAAGTCGTTGTAGCGCCTCTGCAAAACGTCCAGTTTGTCTTTGAGCTGTATGGCTTCGTCGCTAGTGATGTGTTTCATGAGTTCCATGCCCGAGTCTACGGTTCCGTCCACGTCGGACTGTTTGTTGGATATTTCTTCGCAGAGGTCGGCAATGTCTTCCATTTGTTGAGCCAATTTGTCAGTGTGCACCGGCAATACTTTGTACCTGCCCAATCGGTTTTCCATGCCTTCCATCCAGGCCTGAAGGTCTTGGTACGTCAACACCAGGTGACGGAGACCCGAACGCGAATCCTGCAGCAACTGTCCCAATCTCTCGGACGTGTTGACCAGAGTGGCATAGCGATCGGCAGTTTCTTGGATGCGGTCTGCAACACCGATAGCCTCGTCTTCGCCGACCAAAGCCATCAGAGTGCTGGCGATATCGGTAAGATCTTTGAAGTCTGAATTCTTGGCCAAAATTTCATTGTGCAGTTTCTAAAATTAAACGATATTTACAAAATTATGATATATATATAGTAATAAATTTGTATTTTACTGAAATAACTCACATTATGTTCTTTGATTCTCTGTTGTATTTTTTCTTCGTCAGTAGGCACAAGTTCCATGTCCTTGATTTTCTTTTCGCTTTTGTCCAACCATTCCAAGAGAGGCATGAGTTTTTCAATAAACTCCTTGGCTACGACCATGGCTCTCTGCAAGTCATCCATACGCTTAGTCGCTCCGCGATCCAAATTGTTGAAACGCTGAGACAAATCTTTTAACTGTTGTTCGATTTCTTTGCGTTCCCTCGGGTCTGCATTAGCCGCTACCTCGTTGCCCATGTCGAATATGGAGCCCATTGAGTTCTGTCGGTCCGCCAACATCTTCTTTAAGAACTGAAAAAATACATTTAAAATCAATTAAAATATTATACAACGATGATGATATTTATTATAAAATGTATGTACTTTTTGTTCTTGTAGTTGTGCCTTCACGACCTTGTAGTCGGCTGAAGGAGGTTTCTGGTTAGACACTAATTCTTCAGTATCGGCCAACCACTTAGCGAATCCGTCGAGAGCTTCTTGGAATTTGCCCGACTGTAGGAGACCGTAATCTAAACGTCTGTCTCTCTCGTTCAATTTTTCTTTTAACGCATTCCACTTGTCGTTCATTTTTTCCAAGTCTTTTTCCAACACGCTGGTGTTTACGCCTCTCGCGGCGGACTGCACCAATCTTTGGCCCAGACCGTTGACTTCGTCGACAGACGCCACGAGCGGTTCGATGGTGTTTTTCCTGAACGTAGCGAACTCTTTCTGTTGGAATTTAATAGCTTCTACGTCCGAGCCGATCGGTTTCAGGTTTCTAAACTCATCGGTGGCATGGCTAATGTCGTGTAGGACGTTGTCGTACTTGTTCTTGAACGCGTGAAGTCTCTCCAGAACGTTTTCTAGATCAGCCTGTCTGTTTGATGCCCTCTCGTCGAGTCTATTGAGTTGTCGTGTAAGCGACTCGGCTTGATCGCGTATCGAACTGGAATCTTCCAAACGTTGGCCGAAATCTAGCATTTCTGTTACGTCTTCACCGGCCCTGGCGATTTTTTTTATGAATTTGTCTACTTCGTCCAACTGGCCGGTAACGGTTTTGATATCTCTGCCGGGTGGTTTCAAGCCGTCGAATTCGGCTTCTAGATCGTTTAAGTTCTTGCCAAGCGTCTTTACTTTGTCGGCGTACTGAGCCAACGCGGTTGATGCCGACTGCAACTGAGCGCACCGATCGTCAAGTTTGCCCTCCAAATCGTCTAGTCTGTCCATAAGACTGTCCACTTCGTCCTGGTGTTTCAACGAATCGCCTACGCCCATTTGCGCGGCTTCGGAAGCCAAGTCACCGGCGGTCTGCCTCAGACTCACCAACGGACCTCTCAATTTCCTCGCGTCCTCACGCAACGCCTTGATCCTTTCCAAAAGTTTTGGATCGCGCGCCGCTCCTCCGACGGAATCGTGCGACGCCAATTTATCTTCACAACGTTGCAAAGCGTGTTCAGAGTCTCTGAGGTTATCCGAGAAGTCGGCCAGTTTCCTGGACACGTCTTCTAGCCATTGCGATCTCTCGGTCAGTTCGTTGTTCAGCCTGTCCCAGCGGTTCTTAATGGCAGACAGCTCTTGTTTCACTAACTCTTTGTCCACATCGCATGAGGCAAGGAACGTCTCTCCGAGAGTCTTGACGTTTTCGTATTCGCCAGAGTGTTTCCACACTTCGTTTCTAAATGCGGATAATTCCCTAAGCTGTTTGTCCACATCTCTCTTGTTGAAGTTGCTGGGTTTGATTTGTTCTAGTTTGTTTTCGGCTTGTGTCAGCCACGGCGTGAAAGCTTCTAGTGCTCTGTAATATTTCCTGCAGTGTTCCATGCATGTCTGAAGTCTGTTGTGACGGTCCACGGCGTCTTTACGTAGTTTGTCCCAGTTCTGTTGAATCTTGTCCAAGTCTCGCTGCAAATTTCGAGATTCGCTGCGCTGTCCAGATCGAGAGAGCATGTCCCGACCTTTGTTCAACAGCATAATGATTTCATGTTCCTTATGCAACACTTCTTTGTAAATGGGTTCGTATTGAGCTACCTGTTGTTGTAAAATATCTCTGTCGGCTGATATCAACAGCCGTTCGGTCAGGCTTCCAAGGTTGTCTGAAAGCCAACCGAGCGTCAAAGCGCAATCGGCTTCGAATTGTCTTCCGTCCTTGAGCGACCCTTCGATCTCGGCTTTCTTGTTGTCCAGTTTCTTTTGCAAGTTGTTGTACTGTCTGTTGACGGCTGCCAGTTTTGATTGTATGTCTGCTTTGCAAGCCGGATCGTCCAGCACGTCACACAAGTGGTTTCCGGCATCTTCAAGATCAGCTAACAGCGGCCTTTGACCTTCCAATTGCCTCTCTAAATTCTGTATCTTTCTTAGCCTCTCTTCCGGTTCTTTGTCGTAAGAAATATCATCAAGCTGATCGGAAATATTTTGTAGTGCTCCAGTTAAACGAGCAAGGCCAGCGTCGAATTCTCTAGTGGAGTCAGCTGCTGCGCCCAAGTTGGACGCTCTCTCTTCTAGTTTTCCGAGTAAATCAGCCCATTTCTGTCGGATGGCTTCCAGTTTATTGGCAAACCGTTGAGCATCAGGTGAATGAGTGTCTGGCAATCGGCCGAGTATACTCTCGCCGACCGTTGTCAAATGAGTCAGTTGCGGTTGTTGTGTACGGAATTCTTCTCTCAGCACTTGCAATTGTTGAACTTGGCTTTGCACTATTCTGGAGTCGGACGATATCGGCCCCAAAACGTTCAACATGCGTTCTTTGGCTCCCAGCCAGTTGGACAAGTTGTCGTGCGAATCGTGGAAATCTTTTAAGTCTTCCAACAGTTGAATGCGGTTCTTACAAATATCGTTCAGGCTCTTCCAACGCGTTGTGATACTCTGCAAGTCGTCGTGAAGCTTATCAGCTCCCAGAGAAGTAGGTTTCTTCCTGAGCAAGTCATTGACGCCGGACTTAGTGCTGTCCAACAACGATTGTTTCTCGTACATTTCTTCTAACACGGCCTTGACTTGTCGTACGGCTTTGTCAGATTCTTCTTTGGACAGCGGTATGCTTTCCTTGGGCAGCGCTTTTTGTGTTTTGTCCAAAAACTGATTCAATATTTTTATGTTTTCAACCATTTTCCTCACTTCGTCTTTGATGGTGTCGAGTTCGTTTTGTCTGTCTGATATCTTCACGCCCAACAAGTTGTAACGATTGTTGATTTCGTTCAGCTCCTGTTGTACGGGACTGTCGTCTAGTCCTTCTTCAATTCTGTTGTAGGAGAAACTACTTCTCGGTGAATCTCTAGAGGTCTTTCTCAGTGAATCCAAAGAGAACCGTTTGGTAGGAGACGCAGAACTACGCCTTCGCAACGAGTTAGAATAGGACGTTGTGTCGTAGAAAGTAGCTCCTATGTCATTAAGCTTGTCGATGGTGTTGCTGTAGTCGCGATGGTCTTTGGCGATTGGCTTGAGTTCTTCGATTTGATTTTTGATAATGTTCATGTCAACAGCTACGCTCTCTAATTGGTTGACTCGTTTTTCAGTGTTGTTCAGCCACACAAGGACTTGATCTCTGAGCTTTTCGTACGCCTGGAGTTGTTCAGCCTTGGCTTTAGACGCCCTGTGTTTCTCTTCCAAGAGCTGGTTCAAATTTTTCCATTGGTTTTCCAAACCCTTGACTCGATCTCGGACCGGTGGAGTATCAGTCACGTCCTTGTTGTTGATCAGAGCTTTGCCGTCTCTAATGGTTTGGTCTAGAGTCTGACGTTGGGAGTCTCTCTGCACAATCAAGTCGTCCAATTTGTTTTCCGGCAAGTCGTGGAAATTCTCAAGGGCGTTGGCCAACCACTGTTCTAGCATTGCCGCTTGACTGTTGAATGACGACAAAGTCTGATTAATTTCGTTCAACAACTCTCCGCGTTTGGCTGTTCTGTCCAAAAGCTTCTCGAATCTGGTGGTCACGTCTTTGAGTTTGATTTCGATTTTCTTGGCCAATCTAGGATTGCTCGAGTTAATCATCAACTCTTGTGTGGAATGCGCAACGCTGTCAACGCTTGCTCTATGAGTGTCAATGTCCGACTGTAATAATCTATACTCACGAATCTGTTCGGACAAACGTTCTGGGTGCAGACTAACGGGTCTTGTAATGTTTCTGAAAGTTATAATCAAAGAATTCATAATAGAAAATATGCTAAATAATAAGTATACAATTTAAAAAAAAAAAATTATATATTTTACTGGCATTAAAATTTTTTAGTTCAAAAAATACACGTATGACTTACTTTAGTGAGTTTTCGGCGTCGTTCAGCCACTGAAGCAACGAATCCAACGCGTCTTGCACACCGTGCGATTGCACTAGAGCGGTATCCAACTGTGACAGACGGTCTGCCAGTCCGTTGCAAAGAGACCTGTACTTGTCTTCCAAGTCTTTGACCGGTCCTTTTATGGCTTCGATTTCTTTAACTCCGCTCTGTCCCTCCAGCGACCTGATCAACGCGTCGGCGGCTTGTTTGACGTTTTCGATGAGTCTCGCTTGACCTAGAAATTCGTTGTTCAACGTTCTTGTGCGACTGAGTTGATCTTCCAGAGCACTTGGATCGGCTCCGATCGGCTCGTTCAATATTTTCACCGCTCTAGGCTCGACGTCTCTGAGCCAAGCTTTGGCCGTGGCTAGCGCGTCCTTGTATTCTCTTTGTTTGGAACTGAGACCGCTCAGTTTGTCCGACAAAGCGTTGGCACGGGACAACAGGTCCTTGTAGTTGTTAGTGACTCTTGTGACAGTGTTCTTGACCACGCTGTCTTGCGACGACACAGGTTCGATGTGCGGCAGGCGAGACGGCAGCCCGGTTCTGAACTCGTTCAAGCAAGTCAAGTATTCCTTGGACTCGTCGGTGAACTTCTGAGCCGCCATGGTGATGAAACGCAGGTCGGCTTGATGAGCGATAACGTCGGATACGAATTCTTTGGTGGACTCGATGGAAGAAGTGTCGGACAACCGGTTGATGTTGGCCAGAGCGCGTTCTTTTTCCTCCAATGTGCGTTGCGCGCGGTCCATCCACGTGGTGAATGTGGTGAGTTCGGATTTGAACTTGGAAAGTTCATCTTTGGCCGATACCAGACGCCGCAAAAGTTTGTCGGTACGGTCGTTGGCGTGGTCGTAACGTGACTTCAACGATTTGCCTTTCTTTTCCACGTTGTTGACTTCTTCTCGGGACAAGAATTCGCTGCCGGTGGCAATTATGTGACGCACTTGGTCCAAACAGGTAGTGATGGGACGCAGTTGCGAATCGATTTCTTCTTTGATCAACTGAAGTACAAAACAAAAATGTACACATTTTATTTTTTTATACAAATCAGTGAAGACTATTTTTTCTCAAAATAATAAGTAAAAACCAAACTTTATGTCCCCACAAAATAATACAGTTTAATATATAAATTGTTTTTATTATTTTTCCATACGAGTATGATTTGAAACTATTTGATTATTTTACAGTTTGCAAGGTACTCAACTGTGATTTTTTTCACATTTATATGTATAAATGTGAAATGTATAATAGGTGAAAGGTATGTACCTTTCACCTATTACCTTTATAATAACATTGAATATTGTTTTTTTTTTAATCTATTAACGCTTACAATTATAAAAATTACCTTTAATACATTAATTTGATTGCGCAATTGATCTAAATCTTCTTGAGCGATATCTTGATTGGCGATTCTGTCCTCGATCTCTCCTATCCAATTCAGATATTCGGTAAGCGTGTCATCACACAATTTGTACTTTTCAGCCATTGCTTGCTATGTAAAAAAATAAAATTAAAATTAGCACAAAATTAAAATATGACAAAAAGTATTTATAAATCTATTTGGCGAGCTGCAATTAATTGTAGACAAATACAACAAATTAGCAATATAATGAGATTTTAGCGATATTGGATAATAGTGTTACCTTCCAATAATAATAAAAGCCAAATTTAGTTATCTAAAAAATTAGTTTTGCCGTTTGTTGTTTAATCGTTCATATTATGTTAAAATGTCCAAGCATCGACAAACAACAACGGACTAATCGTAACGTAACAATACAAATTAGATGTTAGGCGTAATATTATTATTAAGGCAATCAAATTTTAATATTATTACATAAAATATATGGTTATTAGCTATCTATGTTTTACAACAGTACACTGGAGATCCTGAAATAAAAATGAAAACAAATCATAAAAAGTAGAAGCAATCAATCAGATAAATAACAATAACTAAATTCTATTACACACACACACACGCATTAAATAATTTGTCATTCAAAAAACAAAAACAGTTAAATATTGTCGAGGACACAACGACAAACACGGGTTTCATGCGTTGCATTACAATAGGCTGTTGATGCGATTCAATTACCAGTGTTGTTCCCGCCGTACCATACTCGAGTAGAGACACAATAGTAGCTATAGTTGAGGTTTTATCGGTGTCATACAGATCAAAGTCATCCGGTTCTTCTTCCGTTATCGCTTCTTGTATATCAAACGGTTGATACTTAACACTGTTGGACCGTTCGACTTTGCGCTTTCCGTTTTGGGTGTCGTCTACCAGTTCAACAAACACTGGTACGGCTGAAGGGTCGCACACGAAGCCTGCTTCGATTGCCTCTTGCATGGTGGACCCTTGGTAACGACCCGACGAGTCCAAAATGTTTTTTTTTAGCGCTTGTTTCAAAGTCAACGTTCTTGGTTTGACAGGGTCGACCACCAACGCCGAGTCCGGGTTAATAATGCGCATATCCACGCACTCCTTGAATGACACCAGCCGGTCGGTGCCAGGTATGATGAACACTCCGGACACGGGATCCAACAGGTTGTGGTCAACCGCTTCAAACAGGCTCCATCCCTCGGGCGGTACGTCTATCCTGGAGTCGTCTTTAAGTCTGAGCGAGTCCAAAGTTTTAGTCAACACCGCTTTGATGGAGCCCTTGGGCTCGAGGCCGTTTAATTTCGACAGTAACCGTAACTCGTCATCAGCCAAGTGCACGTCGTCCAAACGGCCTCGGTGAGCCGCGTCCAACACTGACATCTCTTTCTCGTTTACCGTCACCCGCTTGTTCAACACTTGAAACACTTCACCCCTAACCTCGCTCGAATCGAGCGTCTGCTGCTCGTTGTTTACCTTTATCCTCTCCATCGGACCGCGTTCGGCGTCCAACAGCTCCTTTTGTATGGCTTCCAGCAAAGTTATGCACGTGCCGCCGATCGCGCAAGGCCCCAACAGTTTGTCAGCCAAAACCTTGTGCACCAGGCCTCTGTCCACGGCTTGTTCGATGTCCAACCAACCGGACTTGGAGTCCGGCTGAGTGGCGATACGACCGGTGCGCACGTCCAGCACCCTTTGCCGGATCGCCTCGCCCACGGTCAAAACCTCGCCGGTCTTTGGGTGCACAATGCCGGCCGTGTTAATGATGTCGTCGTCAGCAGCTCCTCCGTCGGCCGTGCGCCGGCGGACCGGCCGTGCGTCCGAAAAATCAGCAGCATTGGTCGAGGTCGGAGACGAATGATGGCCGCCCATGGTAGCTTGCAATATTCCGCCGTTAGCTTTTACCGCCGTAATCTGATCGCCGTTCACGCCGTTGGTGGACACCCTGTGGAAACGGTTAAAACAGGAAAATTAAATCAAAGTCACAGTGATGACAGCGTGGAAACACGTCGGACAACACACTCACTCGGGAACCGTATCGTATATGTTGAACTCGGTTCTGAACGTGCGCAGCGGCGGCCTCGCCTCCAGACTGCCGACATACTCCTGAAAAAACGTTTAATCGTTTCTAATAGAGATAAATTAATGGATTTAACAGCCAAACCTTGGATTCGGTAAACCGCATTGAGGACAATTGAGTACAATTTTAACAGTAAAAAATATAATGGTCATAATACAGCTTAAAGGGCACAATTGACCAGAGACACGTCCAAGGATACAAGCGTGGGAGCTTGTAGCGTGGGAGTATCGACTGTGCCCACAGGAAACCCAAATAATAGTCGTCTTAATATAGATTGAAAATAATAAGAAAAGCAAATGTTGTTTACCCCCTCGAAATCTCATAAACCGCTAAACCGAGCAAAGTTGTGCTTCAGAATTACAAATTGATATATATATGAATATACTATGAAGTATTTTGGGACATACGAAAATTTGAAAGAAACCAAGTAGATATATTTTAAAACCGTAAAAAAAAGAGTACAGATAGACCAGAGAAGAAGTAAGTGTATGCTTTAAATGCAAACTGGAAGATCAAGATAAAGGCGACGAGTAGACGAATATAGAAATTTCACTAGCAGTCGTGTAGGCGAATACAATCCAAATTAGAAAATCCAAAATCTGTTTGAGCAACGTTATGTGCAAACCTGTAGTTCTCGGTCGTCCGGGTTCATTGACGCCAAGTTCTTCAGCTGGTCGATCAGCGTGTTCAGCAATGCTTGGAACCTGTGGTTGAGCACGTCCAGTTCATGGGACACGGCCAACTCACCGGCGCTGGGATCCATGGTCTGTCCTTTTTGATAGCTGCTGGCGTCTAGGCTGGGGTGGACCTCCTCCACTAGCCAAGCGCAATAGTGCTGCAGCCGCAGGTCGTAGATCTGTTTGCCGGTTAATGATACGCATAGTTTTGTGTTAAGCTCGGTTAAATGGTTATTACAGGCGATTCTTTCTTTAGCTTATGTTAAAAAAGCTTAGTTACCTTAGCTTCTCGAATAAATCTGCCCCCGTCCACATTGACGTTTTCAATCGCTTTAGTATGTTCCTGCACCTTGTTATACAAAGCCTACGAGATGTATTCGTATTATCAATAGTAATATTATCAACGTTATTATACTATGTCCAACCACATGAATTCATGTAACAATTGTTGTTGTCCAGTGTATACTCATGATGGTATTGTAATTAATATTCCCAATATACTTATAACTATTATTATATGCATTAATTCGATTATAATATAATATTATATTTGTTTCTGCCCCATGCAATGCTGATAATATATTATTATAGATAATAATATAAAAATATAATAACGATTTACTCACCGTAAAATCGGTATGTTCATTGGTTTTATTTATTAACCCATTACATTATTGTGTTAAAAATACGATTAAGCAATTCTTACCCTTGTGGATGCGTTGAGATCCCTCGCTTGCATTTTCTGGAAAGTATCGTCGACCACTTGGACTTCGCTCTGGTAAGCGTTTTTGTATTTGCTTAATAGATCATAGGCGGCTTCACAGCTCTTTAACCTGACGAGTTAAATGAAAACCCATTTTATAATCCATGTATGTTGGACTTTTAGACATCTAAATAAATTTGTTTGGTGTGAAATTAGTTACCTGTCTACTAGTTGACTGCACACGTTGTTCCATCGATTTATTATACGATTTACGTCGCTGTCCAGTCTATCGAGATCGTGATGAGCTGGGCGTGGCAAGTGGTGTCTGGATTTTTCCGTCAGACGCCTGGTGCTGTTCTTGTCCTCGACCAATTGGTCAATGGCCGGCTGATGGTGGACAACACTCTTTTGCAAAGCTATCAGATCTTGATGGACCTGGAGAAACAATAACGGTTATATTATATCATTATAGTTCCAACGACGGTTAACAACTACATCTACGTTACTCACCAATTTCAAGGCAGGCAGTTCAGACGGCATTTCACCATAAGACGCCAATTTGATCTCAAAGTCGGATATAATGTTATTGGCCTCTTCCATTCCGGTCAATGTAATTTCGGCACACTTTAATCGCTCGACGTACAATTGAGACAAATTCCATAATTGATTCCATTGGTTCACAATCTTATCGTGTTTGGTCTGTTGAGCTTGAGTCTTGTTCGGTATTTTCTTGAACGTTGCTTGCATGGCTTCCACTTCGGGACCCATGCTCTGAAAAAAAAAAATAAACATATTATCGTCACGTCAGTACAATGAGTTTGAAAACACTTAAAGTGGCTTTTGTTGATTTACCTTCAACGATGTTTCAAAATCTTTGTGTTGAATCACAAGATGTTCCAATGTGTCTATGTCGCGAGGTATGGGCGCGCTCAATCTGGTGTTTAAAGTGTGTTCATACTCGTCCAACGATATCTGTATGGTTTTCGCTTGTTCGTTAAACACTCTCGAAAGGTTCTTGGCATCTTCTTCGGCTTTCGAAAGTCGTTCAAACTCATCAAACAGTCTATTCACCTCGTCCATCTCTCTTTTGAGTCTCCTGAGTTGAGGATCAGCCGGGTCGCCTTCGCGCAACAGTTTGTTGGCGTCCTCGTTGAGAGCTTTGCGAATGGCGTTACGCTGATCGGCTCCCATAGCCAAAAACTAAACAAAAAGCCACAATTTCAATAAAAATTCGAATAGAAAAAAAAAGAAAACAGTTGTAAACATACTTGAGCCAAATCCCACGACTTAACCACTTTAATAGTTGCAAATATCATATTTTGACGCATGCGCAATTGTTTGCGTTGCCAAAGAGCGGTGGTACGGTCATAGGCCCTGCGCAAACGTTCGACTGCATCCAATGCTTCCTGGTCTGGTGGCGGTATCAAAAACACTACTCCTGGAACATTGGAATCGTCGGTTAGGTTCATTCCTCTGGACACTCTCCACTTGACACGACCGGAGTTGTCGTGAAGCAGCCATTGAGATCCCTTTTCGACGTTGATCTGGAGAAAAAATATACACAACGGTAATTAATAAACATTTTGTATCATTATAATTATTATCAGGACTTGAAACAGTGATAGACGTTTTTCAAAAAGTAACTCCTTTACCTCAGCATAATATAATATACATAAATAGATAATTGATAATTGATTTCTTTTCACAGAAAGTATGATTTAGTAAATGTTTATTTTTATATAATCAAGTGTTTTAATTAGAAAAATGAAAGTTGAAAAAGTATACTTTTATTTTTTATAAATCTTAAATAGATTTTCTACACACCCCGCTCTGTTTGTAATTGCAAATGGCGTTGACTGGAAGAGGTCTGGTAACTGGTAGTCTGCGTTGTTTGAGCGGCACCACTTGTCTCGAACGTTCCTCGAGTGTGCCGATAGCTTCGCTGAAGTTGTTGAGTTCGTCACGAAGGTCCTGCATGCCTTTGAGCAAACGTTCGCCCTCGTCCAGAGTGAACTCGGACTGGCTGTAGACGGTGTTCAACAAATCGTCCCGTTTGCTCAACCAATTTTCGGCATCCTTGATGTCGGCGTAGAACTGATGATAGTAAGCGGCGTGCTTCAGATGGGTCTCCAAGCAGAGAGTCAACTGGAGCAACCATGTCCATTGTGTCTGCAGAGCTGTGATGTACGCTTCGATACATTTGGAAGCCGGATGACCCTGTAAGATCAACGCTTCCCCGCGGTCTTGGACGGAACTCAATTGGATTTCTCTTTTCTCCAGCTCGGACATCAAAGACTAAAAAACAAAAAACAATAAAAATCACTATTAAATACAACGAAAAAATATACAATAATCAAGTGGCCAGAGCCGTTACCTCGACGCCAGATCCAAAAGAATGCTTAGAACGGTATCGTCAATATAACATTAATTTAGAACAACATAAACGCAGCGAGAACGCGCGAGTTTTTCGATTTAAAAATGTGTAATTTGAATTACCTCGTAGTACTGTCTAATGGACGGTACGTTCAGGTCTTTGTCGCTCCAGTCTCGGTTGAGTTCGATTTCTTCTTTTTCGTTGAGCCATTTCAGCTGGTTGGTGGCCGACTGCAGGAAATCTTGCAGCGTTTCCAAATCGGACAGCCGCTTGTTGGAGAACGTGACCAAGTCGGAGTAGACCTTCTGCAGTGTGTTCAAGTGCTGCGAGTACAGCGCCAGTTCGTCGCCGTGGAAATTGGCCTTGGCGTTTATGCAGTGTTCGACTTTGGTGTGGAATTGATCGATGGTTTTGTGTTCGCGGTGGTGTTGGTCCAGCAGAGCCTTGACGCCCGGCAAATCCGAACCGTATTCGGCCTCTTGCAATTGTTTCTGCGGCAAAAACAAATATGAAAAATAAAAACAATCCAGCCCACCGGAGTTGGAGCACAGTGTGCTCGCGGAGGTCACAGGACTTTAATAAGTGATATACTCACGAAACTGTGTAGGGTAAAAACTATTAAAAATTAATACAAACAAAATCCTCAGACCAAATAACCAACTTCGGGTTTTTGAAACAAAAAAATATATATATACACTATTCTTATATTATATAGTTCTCGAAGACAAATTTTAAACATTCTTTTTTACTCTATTTTAATATTTTTATAACTCGTCCATTTACATACTGTTATCTTGTATGTATTCAGAAATTTACAAATTTATTTTTAAGGATTTTTCTCATTTTTGTATGTGTTTGAATAATTGTTTATGTCGTTTATATGTCCAGCTGTAGCTCTACGGTTCAATTTTCCGGCTCAAACCCCGTTTTAAATAGCGAAAATAAAAAAAAACGTATCTACCGGGGGAAGGGTTAATGATATTTTGTGGATTATCACTTTATATCGGTGATATATAATATAAAGAATATCCAAAACGAGGTCGAAAGGAATGCGACTGATTTCAAAAAGTTATAGTGCGAGTTGAAAAACACGTACATTTTTAGGGCGACTTTGATGGGGAAGGAGAAACTTTTAAATTTATTTGTACCCTTACGCAATTTTCGGGTAACATTTCAGATAATATATAGAAAAAACATAAGCCAAAATTTCAACACACAATTTTTAAAACGAATCACCAATACCTGGTCGTCGACTAAAAAATATGTTTGTTGTACGGAAGGACTTACCAATTTGTTGTTGCACCAATCGATGCAGTCCTGCAACGACCGGAAATGCGTGTTGGTGTCGACCAGACGGGTTTCCAGAATGGTCCTGGTTTGTTTGGTAACTGTGCGTTCTTCGACGATCGGGAAAGATAGAGTGGCCAACGGCGTGAGCACTTTCGAGTGCAGCAAAGAACGTAGGTTCACCCATTTCTGATGCAATTTTTCAACTCTAAACAGCAAAACAGAGATGTCAGATATGTCAACGCAGAGTGGGAGATCCCTTTTAATGGGGAGAACCATATCGCAAAACCTAAACGCCAAATATACACCCGATGTGACCTTAGGAGACTGGGAGTCATCCGGGAGAACCTCAAACCGGCGGATGGAAAAATACTGTTAAAAAAAAAATTGATTTTTTCCACGGCTTGGCTTTCAATCGAAAGTAGTCTACCCAACGCGAAATGACTAAAATTTCAGATCCCCAGCTCAACTTTTGGTACTTACTTGTGGAATTTTTTTTTCGCATTGGCAAAGTTATCAAATTAACAGTTTCGTTGGGTTATGATTTGACAAAAACAATTTTTATCGGGAATTATCTGGAGAGTGATTTTTAAGTGTCATATTTCAGCGCATATACGTTTTTTTAATTTGTAAACATTTTTAATCAGTGTTCAAGTTCGAATTTTTCAAATGAAAAATCAACGTTTTTCATGTTAATCAAATGCAAATGCAAATGCAAAAATACGCTAGGGAAGTGCCTACTCGGGGGAATAAGCCAACAGAGATCATACATTTAAGGGATTTCTTATGTAGTAAGACACGGTCTTACTACATCATTTCAATATTAAATTACACTGTTGAAGAGCTCCCACGCGGTTCATTGTGTACTGTACTGAATGATTACCTTTTCTGTAGCTCGGGCGCTTGCACGTAACGGCCTTCCCTCAGCGCCTGCACGTCCACAAAAAGCGACTGAATGGTGTCTTCCGACAGCCGCAGCTCGGTCTCCAGCTGATCGGCATTGTGCTTGGCGTCCAACGGATGTAGCCTGTCGGCGCGGCGGCCTTCCTCTACGATGCGGGTCTCCAGCTCGTCCAGCTTAAGGTCGGTGCGCTTGGTCTCGCGGTGCACCTTCTCGGCCAACCGTTGCAGGCGTTCCAGCCGCTTGATCTCCTCCTGGATGGCCGAGTCCCGGTCCTGGTAGGTCATCATCAAACGGTTCCACGTGCGGTCGATGGCGTCCGCTTGCAGTTCCGGTTCGATGTCCACCTCGCCGACGGCCTCGAAATATTTCTGTGGGACGGAAAACACCGGTTCGTTAGGACAGTGGCGGCTATCTTGCAAAATAACGGTGTATCAATTGTAAAGCCATAAGCCACCCACCCTCCCTAACACAAAATTCTCAGGACTATTAGTCCTTAATATGTGCACAGTACACATTCATAACACAACGGATACACCTTTAGTATAGGATAGCCGCCACTGCATTAGGACTTTTTGATAAATCAGTTGGCCGCGAAGAACCGGTCGAGTTTTTATTTTTGGTTCTCCGTTTGCCGGGTCTTACCTGCAGTTCCTTGTACAGGTGCACGAGGTGCTGTTTGTCACGGTGCCGCGGCGGCAGCTCTTCGTTGCGGAATCTAGTGGATTCGGAAGCCAACTTTTTCATTTCGATCAGAGTGGACGGGAAGTTACGGTCGGACATCTGCGACAACTTTTCGCGCATCCAACGGTTCAACGAAGTGGCGATTTCACGATATTCCGTTGTGCGTTGCTGGGAGTCCTGGGTAAAAGACACAAAAAAAAAATGAATTTAAAGGCCCTCTATATGCTAAATTATTGTTGGTTTTTTTTTTAAATAATCACTTACCGAATCGTACAGAGGGTGTAGGCGTGGAGGTTCAGGGAAAACTTCATGTAGCGAAGATATGTATGTGATAATGGATTTCTCGTCAATCTCGTGGGTGTCCACATCTGCGCGCCAACACGATAATTTATCATTATTTTAATTACATAGGACAACGGAGCAAGCTCACAAGTTTAGTATTTTTTCCCCTCCAAGGCGGTTCACTCTGTATTCAGGTCAGCACAAAGGTATTTTTTTTTCAACGATAAACGCTTTATTAATTTTTTTTTTTTTTACTATAGTCGTGTCGAATTTTAATTTTTACAATTTTGTAATATTTTCTCTATACTAAAATCCGCGTACCTCGTTTTTCTAATAACCATTTAAATCACCATCTGGTCGGTATTGCGTTAAGAAATAAATTGTTGCCCTACGACTCCTACTGGTTCAGTCTGCATTTTATCCGTACTAGGTCCAATTATAACTAATATTATACTAAGCCTATATGATACTCGCCTTCGGGATCCAACAATCTGGTGACACCGTATTCGCGTTCGGCCGTGTAAAATGCCGACTCCAATCGTTCGCGAACCGTCTTGCTCTTCACCGTGCGCCAGTCTACTAGATCCGGTCTGCGAAAAAAGCATCAAACGTACAATAATTATAATCACAGCTCTGTATTATTATTCAGTCAATTTTGGAACGTCATCGGAAATAATAACTATGCACGACAATAACGCGACATTCGCTAAAGACACGTCGACCAGTTGCTAAAGTCCTAACGCGATTTTTTTTTTTTGGGAAAGTAAAAACTTGTTTACTGTTATAGTCTCCCCCGACGTCTTCAATATTTTTAACCACTTTATAGTGTCAGCCCAATCTAACTGTAAGAAAATAATTTGTACATTTCCACTTACACCAAAAATGTAAAATTTGAGAGGAAACAAATTACTTATACGCAGTTACACCACATATCGTTTTTGTTAGGCTTTTGGCTGTTCTTTATTTGCAAAAAACTTGACGGTGAATTTTTTTTTTTTTACCCATATATGTCTGCAAAATACCATACCAAAGAACTACGAAAATTCTGTCAACATTATAGCAATCAACGATTATTGAATGCACGTCCGTGCAAATTCTGTTGTACAACAACGCGGTGACGTATCGGTCCTCGGCCAAGCATGGACAATTATGCTACCTACATTATGCAACCAATTCAATGTAGGTATTATATAATATCGCATATTATAATTTCCTCGTCCCTCGTTCTAAGATTTGGAAAAAAACTAACACAAGAAACCCAGAAAATGTTCCATATTCGCCCAAAACTATGGGGTTTATTGAATATTATTGGATTCATATATACCCGAAATAACTTAACTGGGTCAGGCTTTTTTCAAACATGGGTTATCGTCAATTTTTCTCCTTTTTTTAAGAGAATATATGGAACAGTTTTTTTTTTTTTTAGAGAGTATCATAGTTTACCATTTAATAAGCAGTCTACTATGAATTCACATTAGTGTTTTCAAACTGGAAATGTTTGTTTGTACCTGTTCCTATGTATAATAGCGTTGAAGGCCATGCCATCGCGCCAAGACGACGTGAAGTCCGACACGCGCACTCCTGGGTACTTGGACGTGGACTTGCGGGCCCATTTCAACAGAGCGTCCCTGGCCGATACGTTGGGTTCTTCGCCTACGACTATGTCAGATATCTGTGGACAAAAAAACAATAAATAAATAATTACAAACGCAACTCGTTTGTTAAACGATCAACACCCACAATGTTTGATATCATTATCAATGTTGGCAATAACTCGTTAATAAAAGCTCGTTCCAGATAAATATTTTTTGGGTCTACATAAAAACCAGAAAATCTCTTGTTTTTGGATAAATTCTAAAAATGTTCACCCGTCGTTTTTTTTTTTTTGCCAACTGACATTACAGACCTAGCTATTTCAACTTACCGTCAAAGATGATCAAAAATGCAATAATACCCAACATTTGTGAAAATAGGGTCAACGACAATAATAATAAAAATAATAATGGTATTATGTACGCCCGTCCAAATACGTTTTCGGCATACGACGGCCACTCGTTTTCACGCTATTCCTAACCGAGAGCCACCTAGTCTTCGCCTTAAATGGGCAACTGAGGTCTGTCGATCCGGAGGTCGTTTACAACAAAAAAAACAACAACAACGCACACATACTCGCCGCCCATGTCTTTTTATAATATTATTTATTAGAAAATATATTATTATTATAATTTACTCGGACAGACCAATCGGACATCGTCGAATTATATAGCATCTATCTACGGCAATAACGACAAGACAGGCAACAAAATAAAAATAAAACACCTCCAAACATTCCAAAAAATCTCGGCGTTTTATTTGGAAACATCTCTCTTGGCACTCCGCAAAAAAACTTTTAAAGAAAAAAACCCGGCCATCTTTTCTTCTCTTTTCCGTAGCGTTGTTATAATGCCCAAATAGTAAAACGATACATACAGGGTTAGGGTACTTAATATTATCAACCGCTTAAAAACATCATTAAATATGCATAAAAAAGTATAATACTATTTAGCAATCTCCAAAATGGCAATCCCTCAAATTAACATGAAAAAAGGGTTAAAAACTTTCAACTCCTAATGTAATATTTTTCTAATAGTACTAAAAAAAGCGTACCCAGAAAGTTTTTTTTAAAGAAAACAAATTTATACACTCAAGTTTCAATATTTTTTTTAATTTATTCCGTTTAAACACAATTCCGAAAAACCTTCGAAGCATTGCGAAAATTAGTACTTTCAAATTTTAGATTTAAATCTGACGCAGCACGACATACATTTCTATAGTAGGTACTCTGTTAGATTTTAATGCTGGACGCCCTGAATCGTGTGAACATAGGAAGTTTTTTATTTTTGAAACAAATTATCACTTGTACCCTTTTGGTTTTAACCAAAACTCGCTACGTAGAGAGTAAATTTTTTAGCGCGCTTGATTAATGGTATCACTTGTCTGCGAGTAGTATCTTGTTAAAAAACCACATACGCCATATAAATGACTACTGTGACAACAACGAAGGTTTGGTCGTCGTCGAGAGGTATTGGATAATGTTTTTTTTTTTGTTTGTTCACAGAATCTATCTGCACAGTCGTCGGCAGAGATGTGCTATATGGAAGTGTGTGTTTGTGTCTGTTTGAAGAAAGAAAATATATCTACTGTAAACCAGGTCACACACCGTACGGTCACATCATTATGCACGACAGAAGAAATATATTCTAATATAATATCAGATATGCAATATGTATTGCTGCTGCGGTACCTACGCGCAAAAGAAACCATCCATGCGTTCACCTACCGGATCACACACACACACAGTACCGGTACATAATATTGTTGTACCGAGTAAAAAAAAAAAAACAGACTATCCGAATAGTCCTTTATTATGTTTTTTTAACTCATAACAAGTTTGGACATTGGCAAAGGTATTTTCGGGTTATGCCACAGCCGAGAATTGCCGTTCAAAAACCTAGACCCTTATCAATCCGGACAAGTGTATAAGTAAGAGTCGAGACCCTTCTTCTCTTCTTCCACAGCCACGACCGTCACTTCTGCACACTCAAAGTTCGTTCACCTTCTTCTCTCTCTCTTTTTAACTATGAGTGTATTTGCGTGTGTGTGTGTGTGTGTGATGCTTCCGGTATGTTCCGGCGCGAACAACACTCAAACCGCGACAATACCCGTCCGCACGTACCCACTACACAATACTCTATAATGTAATTATGCGCAACTCTATATAAGTCTTTACGGGTTACGGGGTTTCCTCCTACGACGACGATTGTGCGAGGCGGCATAGTATTTTTTTATTTATCCAACGAGCCAGTACGAAGGCGGGCAACATATATATTTTCATTACAAAACAATTTTAGCAATAAAAAAAATCCAAGGCGGACCTGACTAGGCGGCGACCGGAGCCAAAAGTATTAAACGCCAAAAAACCATTAGGAAAATTACCAACGTTGACAGAATCGCGTTTGGGATGAACCCTTTGGGACGAATCAGTCGTTTTGTTTTCGAAACCAGTCACGCGAACACATTTTCCAAATACCGTTTATTTTTACACTTAAGACCACCGAACGGAATATGCCAAACAACACTAACACGCTGACTGCAGGGGCACGCTAATAACTTAAGCCATTTGACCACTTGTAACCCAAATAAATGACAAGTTCAAATATATGTTAACAGCGATAAGCTTTTGATTTTGGTACAAGCTAAGCGTTCAAAATCAGCCATAGTAAAAAAAAAAAAACGGTCAAGCGTGGTCCAAATAATTAGTGAAGCGGTGAAAATATTTTAAAACCTATCGCTATAACAATCCAGCTAAACAGTTGTCCTAACCTCGACAATGCCAGTTTCAAAATATTATATTTTATGGTACACGAATCGGTTCTAATGTCATTTAGTGATCGTACTGATTTTAGAATATCAATCGGAAAATTTAACTATTTGAATTTTGATTGCCTTTTCTCGAAAAATTAACCATAAAGCTTTTGATTGTATATTTTGAAATTAAGACGCTTCGTTAATTTTTTAACAAACGCACACGACACACACAATGCGCCTATTTTTTAGTTGTGTACAAAAATCTATACACATGACACTCGACGTGTTAAGTACACAATACACATTATATTGTACATAATATCATACATATACTGTACCTACAGCCGGGCCCTTCTCGTATTAGCATATTCAATATTAGGTATTTATAAGTATGGGCGGCTGACAAGCAACACAATTCAATGTTTGGCCGTGAAATTAGGAGATTTTATGAAACTCGTATTGATAACGTTATCTAAACGCACCATAGTATACAAATACACTGCAGTGTACATTTTACTGGTCGATAAAAATACACATTTTATTAAACTTGGCAGTAATTTTTTGTCTGGCACATTATCATCCGACTACAGCATTCATACTATAAACGTCCACAACACTAAACTATAATATCTAAATCTAAGTACCGACAAGCATTTATTCACAAGCGTTGCAAAGCGGAGTTAAAGTAATAAAGTTACCATTTTTGGATTAAGATTTTGCAAAGACTGAACGAAGAGCTTACAAAATGTGCTCGTCCCGAGAGAACTATCGGGACTGTTTGCGATTTTTGGCCTAAGTCCACGGAGGAACGTAATGAGCAAAATTCGTTGCCGTTTTAATGCCAATTACTATTTGTCAGCTTGAGATGATTTTTTTTTTAGGACCTTAAATAATATATCGAGAAATCAGGAAGACGTTGCAAAGTGTGTATATGTTTTTTCGATTTTATGATAAACCAAACGTGAAACGTATAATCAACTTAAATTTGCATTAGATTGACAAACTAAAAACTTTAAGTTACTGAGTTGTATGTTTAGTTTTTTGTTTTTTAGTAAGATATTTATTGAACATGACCGATTGAATAATCTAAATTTTTCGTTTATAGTGTTTTGAGTATACTTAGCCCCATCTAGTTTTACCGCCAATGTTAGACCGTCTAAATATTAAGAGTGGCCCTTTAGACCCGCAAAACATTTAACATGTTATACTGCTGATGTTGTTATTATTCGAATTGCACGCTGCTTTTCTGTGTCATGTCTAACTCTATAGAAAAAAATGCTACCTTGGCTTTTTTGGATTTGATCATCTGGTGCCGAGACCTCTTAGACTCCTCGTACGAGTGGTCGGCCACCGACATCTGTCCGGTTTTCATCATGCTCTCGGTGGCCGATACCTCCACGCCCCTGGTCATCACGGTGGTTTTGCGCAACACTCGGGTAGTTACCGAATGTCGGCCGACCTCCGGGCGCCTGTCCACCTTATGCGACTCATGGTTGGACCCGGACACCTCGGTGGACAGGTGCCTCTTGGTGTGGACGGCCTGCAGGTCGCGCACGTCGTCGTCGGCCGCCTCCCGGGTGCCCTGTATGAACAACCGGCCGCTACCGGGCCGGGGTACGGCCGAGGACGACGACGAAGTGGACACCTCCTTGGTGGCTTTGCTAATGCGGTACATGTCGGTTGGTTACCGGTGGTGTTTGATGGTTAGTTATCAATTGGTAAACGGTCGGTCGCGTTTAGACGATCAAACGCATGACGTTGCCAAGCGGCCGTTGTGCGGACAGACGCACGGATTAGGCGGGATTAGTAAGGGTAATTTTTGGGAAATATATATATTTTTTTTTTTTTGATATTAATAGTATATTATTGTTATTCTATACATTCACAACAAACACTCGGTCGGTTCGAAACGGCGGCGCGCATGCGATACGGACGGTACACAAGAGATAACTGAACCGTGTTAAGCGGCTGCAGTGGCGGCGGCGTTTGGGTCAGGCTGGTGCAGAAAGGGAATACGTACGTGAATGAGTAGGAGTGCAAGCAGGTAAACCGCGGGGGCACCGGGGGGAGTCAACATTACCTGTCTGCCATAATAAAACGCTCTTCAAGGTTGGCCGTGCGGCACACGCACGGCGCACGGCAAAGGGGGGACACCCATTGAACATTATATCGTTACGGCTGGAGATATATAAAAATTACGCGTACAAAGGTTTTATCTTTGAAATACTACATACTCGTCGGTAATATTCATTGAATAAAAAAACAACCGTAACCCTTCCCCACTCTCGTTTAACCGCACGGTGTTCGTTAAGCCGTGCCCAGGTTGGTAGAGTGAGGCAACCACGATAACAGGACACCCGAGGCACGCGGCGGCGGCGCCCACATCGGGGTACCCACGCCTGTCCGAAATCCTCGGACCGGTGCACCACATATCCATATAGGGACCAGGTGACCAGGTGTGTGTGCAGCCGCCGCCACACGTTTCCACCGCGTACCATCCTTGGACGGCGCAGTAAACCTTGGCCACGCCGGACCGCGTAGGAGGCGCCCAGAGCAACAGATGTAGACGACGTTACATAAACACAAACAGCGTTGCGCATGGGCGGCGGATCAGGGTTAAGTTCGGACGGATTCGCTAAATAGGCCGTCGTTTGCCGGTAAGCAACCGCCTTCCGGAAATTCTAGCGCGGCACGAGGGCACCAAAGACATACACAACAAAAGCTGTTGTAATACAATAAACAATGACCACGTACTATACGGGCGACAACCGGCGAATCCGAGTTTTCCTGACCTAGAAAATCCCATAATCGGCAACACCGGAATCGGCCAAAACAGCCTTTCCCAAGTTAGAGAGGGGGGGGGAAGCTAAGTAAGTTAAGCTTCTTAGGAACCCCGCTAAAGGTACTATAGTCATACCAATAAGTTTACTAAGGCATAAGGCTAAGCTCTTCTTCTCATCAAACATATTTTAAGCTAATAACGCCACCGATTCTATTAATCAGAATCCGATAGGAAACAAAGTTTCTTCCAAAATTCACAAGCTCTGTTGAAAACCAAACAAGATGTTTATACCCCAATAAAGAATATACGCGGGACAACTACTTGGACCATAGGGTATGTACTTTTCACCGGTCATAAGTGGTGGCCGGGTAAAAACTTTCTAATGACGATTCCGTGACGGGCGACCAACACACACACACACACCGGTCGTGATCGGAATGGTGAGAATTCAAATATACCGTTTGACCATCGCTTTTTAATATTATTATTATTGTTATTTTTTTTTTATCTGTAACACACAACACGACCGTAGGGCGTGATGACCGTTTAAAACAGCCTATTAACCCTGTGAAACACGAGTTGCTCGATTATTAATTGTATTGTTTCAACTTTTTTGTTTTAACATCCTAGTCCGACAAGCCGGATTGAAGTCGGGTAGAAATTCTACAGAGAAATTATGAAAACCGACTCCACGGAATAAACAACATATTATTCACAGCGCGACATATTATTATTGTAATGCACACACTGTTCCGCCGTCCTCGAAGCGCACTTGTCGGCGATATCGAATTACAGTTATATAGGATTCGGAAAACGTGGAAATAGGTTTCATCTTCATATCCAACATGAATAGTATGCTAAGTCCATAGGCCACTGAGCTCGGTTACCGTTGCATGTTATTATTGCCGAAGGGCTGTTGCAGCAGTGTCAAATCGAAATTCACACTAACGTAACGATATACTGGGACAATTATTGATTCGAGTCTTTCCGGTTTGTATCGAATCCGAGTGATGATTTGTGTCAGGAAAAAAGGATTATTAAAATAAATTATATCGTAATCCACGAGGGAAGATAACAGCTGTGTTTTCAAGTGTACCGCCCACAGCGAAGAGGTTCTATATGGGCTTTATTAACGCTTGAATCGAACCGAGGATTAATTATTATTGTTCGGTTAATCTAATCTGGCCCGTTGTTGGCATTCGCGCGGCAAAATGATAAATTATACCGACGACGAACGCCTACGAACCTTAACCGCATTCACAGACTTAAGAACCGTAATCGAGAGTTGTGTCGATTTTTGGAGTAGGTATCCGACGCAACTGGCTGGACTAAGGTCACACAACTATATGTCCATAACATCTGCAACCACCAACTCCCAAGTCCAAGAATGAGCACGAGTAGTTTTGCAATAGTTTGCACATTGTGGAATTAGCTTGTGAGTGGGATACACTCGGTCAAGTCAAAGACCACGGAAGAATAGTTACACCGACCCAGTTTGTTACTAATAAATTGTGGGTTTACCCAAACATGCTGGGCTTAAACAAGAATAACCTGCTGGATTTTTTTTTTAAGAACCAAATACGAGAGTGCTGTTGCTTAGACGACGGTCGTTTGTAGATCATTGCACACACGGCGCAGCCGTTACACGAATGTTTCTATAGTTGCATACACAACCCCGCGATATCAGAGACTGTCAACAAATCTTGCAAAAGCGGCATAATACATTATCATCATCACTATCAGCTGATCAGAAGACTCCTTAGACAAACGTCCTGCTGACACGGTTTTTTTATTAAGAAAAAATACACCCGATTGACTCGTCCGTGTATAAAAAAAAAAGCAACGCCTCGAGGTAAACTAGATTATGTACACAGTAATGAGTTTAGGCGAGTAAGTAAATTTTTTTTTTTCTACAATACGTCAATTGCCGTTTTATTCGATTTCAATGTTGAAAATAGGTAAGTTTTGACAAAAACCGATTACAATAGTAATAATATAATTCCACAAAATCTATGAAAAGAGTAACAAAATCAGAGTATTTAAATTTTATCAAATTGAACTTCAAAAATATGATGGAACACATTATCTTTTAAACAGTTTTTGGAAGTTCAGAAAAGTTGGTAATATAATCGTTAGCGGTACCACCGTTGATCAACTGTTTGGACGGTTTTAGATTTTCCTAGTTTTTCAAACGTGTGACAACCGTGTAGGTTTTCTCCAAATAATGTTTCTTAAGGTCGGCGAGGGCGTATCAAATTGTATAATAATCGTTGTTTACTTTTATTCGTTTTTTTTAATCGTAGGTACATAAGAAAGAGGTCACTAAGCCGCCGAAAACAATATTAATAATAACAATAATAATATTTGCTCGAGGTTACCTCGTCCTAACGAACGATTAACATGCATAACATATAATAAAATTATATTATTTAACGTAGAACCGACCAACGTTGATTGGCACACATGGACGGAGTGTGTGAGAGAGAGAGAGAGAGAGAGAGATGACAGGAAATTATAATAATATAGGTTTGTCGGTTTTTAGATGGTCTTAGAGGCCGACCCACAAAGAAACAAATATAATCAGAAGACCCTATTGGAAGTGTTCGTACGGTCATGCATGAGACGCAACAGTCGGTGTTAATCCTTTGGCACACAAGCCGTTATTTTATCGGTCCACAAATGACCATCTGATGGGTGCGGCCAACACGTGACCGGCATGTTGTGTAACGATAGATAGTTTACTTTTTATTGTTTTCCGGTGCACAAACACAACAGTAAAAGCCGACAATAAAACTACTTAGCCACTAGTAGAAATATACAAGTGTTTTACCGACCTGGAAATGAAGGATAATGGTCCATATGAGGCCTAGCGTGAGTTTCGGGTTGCCGTCCACGATGTCTTCGGCCCGGATGTTGACCAGTTTAATCTGGAACACATGATAAAAAAAATGGCCATGTCAATATTGGGAGGGGGTACGCACTATATTACACTAAAACAGCTTTTTTGTGATGGGTTTACCTTTTTGAAACGGAGATATTCGAGCGCCATCTGAACATTCTGCAGCATGTGAAACCTGAGTTTGCCTCGTTCTCTCGGCTGTGGAAAAACCCATAACGTTATTATTTATTACTCTAGAGTCTAGACTGACAAAATCAAAACAAACAGCAGATTCTGAGTATGAAAAAAGACCCCGACCAAAAAAAAAAAGAACCAATAGCTAAAGTCGTTAGTATTTACCCCCAACATACGGGTTTTTACAGGGTTTATGGATATCCAAAAAACTTAAACGGGGTCAGGGTTTTTTAGAAACACCTGGGGGGTTATTGCCACCTCCGATTGGATTAGATATTCTATTATTTTATCATAAAGTCATCGTGCAAAACTGTGAGACGCGTGTCGAGAAAACAAACCACTGGAACGCGACGAGGGCGGTTAGGCGGTGGCGGTAATCCGCATCGAGAGCATCGCGGAGGTAATAATTTAATTGACTTTTTTTTTCAAACAAAATTGTGTTACACAATTATTATACTCGCAGCGAAACAAAGACAAGGATGTTATTCAGGCCTTGGCGCATCACTTTATACGGAATATCAAGTTGTGCGATTAGCCGTTGGCCGTAATTACCGTCGTCCGGTTTACTGGGGAACACCTTTCTTGGACGTAATGGTGGCAGTGGCATTTTCCTCCGTTTAGGTTTTTCACAATATTGTATTAAATTGCTGATGAAACACCGATTTATTATATAAATGAATAAATGCATGCGTTCATCAATTACGTTGAACAATAGATATATGATACAACGATTTTAAAGGATTAATTGCACAAAAAAACCATACCTAACGTGAAAGTTAGAAGTTGGTGTGGACGGCGGAGAGGAGTGGGAAGGAGGAAAGGGTAACGCCTACGAAAATTACCGTGTTGGGTGACAGTCGAAGAACTTTTGGCGAAATATCCGTCGATTATGACGTAGTGTTAACGTCCGACACACGTTATAGATATTCTAGCCGGCCGCCGCCACACCCCGAAGGACCTTGATACATCATAGAGTATTTTCCCAATAGCAGTATAATCTTTTTTTCGAACCTTGTCCGCCATAAAGAACATAATTTTGTAACGCATACACGCACAACGTAAATTCGCCCACGGTTTTGGTTTCTTTAGCAAAAAAAACTATATTTTCAAAAAAAACTCGCCCTATAGTTTCTATTGTATAGTATAATTTGCATATTGTACGCCGATTTATTTTGCCTCTATGGTTGCCTCGAGTATATATGTTTCGGGTCTATTATTGAGCCTACATCGCATTTGTCTTAATTTTTTTATAATTCAACCAGTGCGAGAACAAAAAAAATAAGAACCAGTGTTTTTTTTTTTCAAAGTTGGCAATAAACCGGTTTTTAAATTCCGACCCAGTTAAATATTTTGGGATTGCAACTACACCCTCACCCCCCTCCAAAAAAAAAACTTGAGATACATCATCTGGGGTAAATACCAAACATTTGTTGGGCTAAACTAAAAACAAACCCGCTGTTTGTTTGCCTTTTTTTAGACAAAATTAATTCTATACAACAACGTAGTGGGTGTGTTTATTTAGTCTAAAATGAATTTTTATGTTAATAAATAACAGGTTAACAATGGCGCTTACCAACTGATCGCCGGAAAGCACTTCCAACAGCGAAATCAGGTTGAGACCGTCCTGCAAGTCGATGAACAAATCGCCGACGTGTCGGTTGGCCTGAAAAATAATAAAACATAAAATCAATGTTATTCGGCGTTTTGGATTTCATATTTTAAAGCTTGAGCCATAAGAAGTCTAAAGGTGAATACAAAAAAAAAATAAACATCAATATCAACGCTACTGGCACACTTTACAAAGAGTACAAAGTTACAAAACAATTTACATATTTTTTTGCTACGAAAAAAAAAAATTAACACACAAATTGCTATGATTTTTGAAAAATATATTTTAATGAGACTTACACACGAGCGACAAGAGTTAGAGCACGCCTGTGGCGAGCATGTGTGTGTCTGAAACGTACAATTACTATAAGTTGTGTATTCCTATAAAACAAATAATAATAAAAAAGTAAAATTCTCTGCGTTTATTTTCTTTTTTCTTTAACATATTATATAAAATACATAAATATTTGTGATTTTTTTTTTTAAAGTTCGTGTCTAACGTGAAATTTTACAATAAACGTGAGCGTATAAAATGTTTGTTAATCATACCTTCCAATACTTCCAATGCTGCTTAAACAAATTCGTTAAAAACAATTAAAAAGAAAGTTTATAAGCCAAAACCTCTCGTTGTCTTTGTAAAAGTAAATCATAATAATATACTACTGTCATTCCTAGATAACTGTACACAGATCCTTCTGGTGCATAATGTATATTTAATGACAATGCCAAATTACAATTCACAAGTATTTGGAAAATAAATATACTCGTTGCACAACAATTTTTTTTCCGGATACATTTTGATTTTAAATTAATTTACTTGAATATTTCATATTTAGAAATGTAACCACTTTATTATGTCTGGCACGTAAGTTTATAATATAAATTATAATACGTTGTTTGTAAAATTACATAGTTTTGCATAATAGTAATGTAATTCATACCACAACAAATGTTGTGGGCGAATTTCGGGTAAAACATTTTTCTCCAATAAACATGAATAAAATAAATACACACAGGCTTGAGCCATAACTGGAAATTTCAATTCGACGAACTGAAATTTATTTATTTATTGATCAATAAGAAAAAAAAATAGTAAAAAAACTTGTTTCCGTTCTGCGTTGGCGGAGGTATCATTATAATGAGAGAAAAAAGGTTGGTGATAATTTATTTTTATTTTTTTAGGTATCACACGTCATTCCGCATACCTTGACCGAATAATGTGTATTATATTACACATAGAAAATGAGGTGGTATGATAATATAAATTAAAACATACTGGTACGAGCAAAATGATTACTATTTTTTCAATAATAGCAAAAACCGATACCGGCCTAGTGAATCGTCTTTCGTCATAATCGTACGATATGAATAAACGATTATTGTTTTCTTATATCCTATACGAGATGGTACCGCCATTAGTGTGCCATAAGGTGTGCTCAAATGTTTTGCGAAAAAAAAAAGCAAAATGTTTTATTTATGCGACGGTTTGTCGGGAACTGGTATGTAATTTTACAACACTATTGCAACGTCAAAATTCATTGTACAATTATATTATTCAATTTATGCCTGCATTCTTTCAGCAGAGTCATATTATTTTTAACTTTTTTTCTTCAAAATAATCATTGACACCTTCATAAAAAAAATTGAAATTTTAACTTTTCCACAGCGCAGGTATTCGATCGAATAAACTCAGGCTCGACCATAATATTAACCTACATTTATTCACAGGTCCCGCAGCTCTAACTTTATTTGACCAGTTTTATTTTACGAAAATAGTATTAAAAAAATAACAAAATATACAAACTTAAGAAATCAAAATGGACTGTTTATCTAAATCCAGAATAAACAACAGTTAGCCATAATGCGTAGGTAGACAATATACGTAGTAATTATGTTAAACGAAATTTTAATTATGCTAAAAAAATACACCTACGTATTACACTGTCGCCTAATCAGCAAATTATTTTACACTATCTATCGCGAAAAAAAATTGTAGGAGGATTTGAATGATTCAGAAAGGCTTATCACTATTAATCATGCTAACTTAACCGTTGATTTTAATACATATAAAACTATTATAAACATCAAATCTGTTCCTTTTTCTTTTTATAATTTACGAGTATATAATAGAATTATTGACTATAATGAAATCAATATTTTGCCGCCATTCAGCGCCAAAACTTGACTATTTATCATGCTCTTATTTTGTTTTCTTATACCCACAAACGAGTGACTTTTCTTGACACCTATCAATCATTTTAATACATAATAAACGGGTACCAAATAATTAGTCATCCTAGCGTTAAATAATACAGATAAAGACAATAACAATCACTTAATTAAATCATTGGTAATTTTTTTAACTGTATAATTTTTTAAAAAAAATAGAAATGCAACTCTAATTAACGGGGTTAGGATTTATGCTTAGACATACGACTAATTAGTCGTATTGGCTTCAAATTGGCTTCAAAAGTTTTACAGATTTACTGTTTGTTTTGCTAACTTAAAACTAGTCTAAGTAAAGGATTTTGAAAGAATTAGAAAGTAAAACAGGCAACTTATTAAAGTATTATAACAGGTTTTTAAAATTGATAAAATAATAATAGGTACTCAAAAAATGTTTTGCCTAACAAATTTTTATTTTTTTATTTTTATAATAATTTAACTTTATTAAGATGGATGGTCAAAAATTTAATTTAGGATGGATTTTTACGCAAGGGCCGTGCAATTGGTATCCTGTTGTTTTGAACTTACAAAGTTCTGGTTCCAGCGTACAGGTAATAGAAGCGTGATAATATTTTTTCGGTTAACATGTTTACAAAAAAAAAAAAAATACAACTGAACGCTAATCTACGTATTTGGTGTTGTTATCATTGGGTAGGTATAAAATAATACATGTAGCTTCGTCATAGCGAGCCACTTCCGGGCCTCGCGTGAGATACCTCTACAACAATTATAAATATTATGACTGTTATAAATGTTAAGAACAATTACAAAAAGTATGTAGTATTTACTATTTAGTGATTGGGCAATACTATAATATTAGGTATATTATGTATCTTTTTTTTTATTTTTTATTACAATTCCAACGAACATGACTCGGACCGCCGCGTGTTTGTTCGGCTATATTTGAAAATATTACTCACAAAACGGGAGTGGTATCCGACACAACGCATTACCTTTTCGGGACCGATAGAGAAACAATTTGCCTATTTTACGATCGTAAATATTTTTTTTTTCTCTCACTCGACAATTTTGTATAATCTTTCATACATTTCTCCTCCGTATAATCAAGAAAACAAATGTATATACCTACGCCAACGAGCAGTCGACGAACGCTTACCTTTTTCAAATGTTTGTTCACCCATTTCGTAAACGTTTTCTTTTGTATGGCGTCTCTTTCGTCTGAAAAAAAAAAATAGAAAAAAATTCTATTAAAATTCATACTTAAAAAAAAACTATATACTTTCCCGTCAAATGCGGGGATTACGGATCGTTTAATATTCATAACATAAGTGATGTGAACGAAACTCACTATCTACGCTATTTACAATGTAGCTGTCAACCAAGTATTATCGTTCAGAAAATAAAACAAAAAGTGTAGTCAACATTTTTTAATCATCTTCGGTCAATAGCGACAGACGCTACCACAACGTAAGACTAACTTGAAAGAAGACAACTACAAATAGTAAGTGAATCGCTAACTGCAAAAAGGAAGCAAGTCCATTTTTTCTAATTGTTCATAAGAGACAAAAAACTAAACAAATATACAAACAAGATTGTGAGTTCATAAAAACGTTATGAAAAATCACTTTTACTGTAAAATTGTTCTAATTATATCATCCCGGGTTCTTTTATGGGTGTTACAAATTAGGGCTAGGGTCTGACTAATAACAGATATCCTGTCGTCGTTTTCTGAACAAATATCAACACAATCATTTAAATGCCAATCTTAGATAATATTATAATCACCATGTTTTATGGTCACTCTATCCGAATAAAGGTATACGTTAAAAAGGGTCATTAAAAATATGATACACCAGCTACAAAGTAGGGCTGTCAAAATAATACAGATGATATAATAGCAGTCCAAATTAAATTTATAATTTAACAAGTGGACAAAAAATTAGTTTTGTATACTTTATCTGTATGCAATGCTTCCACTAGGTTTCAATTAAATTACAAACAAATATTTACGTTTTAATAATTAATAAATACAAACAAAGTGTAAACTATAAACATGTTCACAAGATTCTATAAAAAAAAAATTATTTACATAATAGTTTAAACGCTGTCGACTTTTTTTATTTAATGTGCCCATTGCTCATACTGCGAATAAACAACGTTTTGAAAAAAAAAATTGTATTTAGACTGCAAGTTGACGGGTGTCACTTTAATTTTTAATCAAACAGAAATCGTATAAAATAAAAATACATTTTGCTCGTTTAACCCTCCCCGCGTGAAGGAGCCAAGGAGGCAAGATTTAGGTACCCAGATTAGTTCCTTTACAATGCACAGTGTTGTTGTTTTTTTTTTAACGTATTATAGCGATATACCGTGTAACGATCGTGGCGTTCCGGTCTTAATCGGATTTATTAGAAATTTCCTTATCGTTGGCGTGTCTGTCGTGCGACCCATTGGCTACGCCGCCTATTTAGTTGATCCGAGATCGACTGACTGTTGTTTCATAATAACAAATAAAAAATACAATTTCAAAAAAATAACACATGTGCGGCTACAGCAAAATAATTCGTTCAAATGATTATTGCACGCGGTTAGATATACGTGTGCCCCCAGGCCATGAGAGTAACGTGAAATTGCCTTGTAATAAAAAATACAGTTCATCATAGGCGAATTAATATTACATATTACATTAGACCCATTGTATTCGGGCGACGGTAAACAACAAATAAATTAAACTCGAAAGTATTTTTTTAGATTATCATTAAGAAGACTCGCGGTTCCGATTAAAAATATTCCTACACTGCACAATGACTCATGAAAAGTATACGAAAAATAATTCTTTATGGCCCACACGAACGGCTGTGAATGTATAATTGGCGCTCTCTATCCTCGAAGAGCGCGCATCATATAATATTACTAAAAATTAACTGTCTCGAAGATATAATAGGTATTTGGGGGTTAATATAGACATTTGAAAGCCTATAGCACGAGAAGAAAACTATAAAAGACAGTACTTGGATTTTTATTGACAAAAAAAAAAATTGTGTCCTACAATAAACTAAATATTTTGAAATATTTGTACATGAAAGCTAAAAATGTTAAACGTTTTATGAGTTTATATGTTTTTACTAAGCCGAACGTAATCGACATTTTTCAAATATTTTATTTTCTAGTTAAGCTAAGGACCAGGGTCATGCATAAATTATAGGTACCTTTGAATTAATAAGGCAGATGTAAATGTGTGTTTTTTTTAATAAAATAATACAATTTACAATTTTAATAAAGAGTTTGGAATTTTTGAGACATTAACTTTTTACCAAACAAAATTAAAATAATTAAATTGTTTGAGTTGATTTATTAAAAAATATTATACTTATATATGTGTATTTACTTCATATTAGAGCGTTTTTATATAAAATCAATAAAAAGTATTTAAAAAAGGTAAAATAAACTCACAATGCATTTAAACACGTTATCGTTTCACTTCCACAATTGATCAAATATGGTATAAAACGTGGTTTAGAAGAAAACTATCAAAAACCTAACAGTGAAAAATGGCCAAGTTCCAGATCCCCTCCCAAAAAAGTCAGCCTGTCTAAGTAGTGATAGCTAAATTGTGGCCAAGTCTGCTATTTCTTTAGTTCATAACTTCACTTCACTCTTACTTTTATGAACAACACTTATCTTTTATTTGTATTGCTTAATACTTGGCCAGTTTCTGAATGAAAAATGACCATTCAAATGAGGCATAAAACAGACTTGGCTGTAATGTAGATACCACTGCTTTGGTTGGCTGACTTTTTGGAAAGATCTGCACGTAACTCCTAAGTATGAGTAAATTTGATAATGATGTTTTATGCTTTATTCAGAAACTAGCCAAGTGTTAAGCAATACAAATAAAAGAGATGTGCTCACCTGTTACTAATTACCTGCGATTAATGTCACTAAATAGTGTATAAACACAAAATAAACACTTATAATAATTTTATACTTCACGTTTTACTATAATATCATAAGTCAACAACATAATAATTAGACGGTTTATAGGCAATTTGTTGTTTTTGTGTAGTCGTTAATCATTTTTATTAATGCTCAGGTAAAACTCAGGCAAAAAAAAAGTGTTGAATGATAACCCTGTGACACGTATATAAACCAACCCGACGCCATTGGCTGCATTCACCTTAATCGACTACTTTAACACACTTGGCTTGCGTTTCCGACCGTTCAATGCACCCCATTTTCAAATATAGATATCCATCACATTTTTTGGCACTAGGATATACTTGTATGTTATACTCTTCTCTTTTTTGCCACGGGCGTATGTGTCCGGTTCTTGATCGTTTCAGTTAAAACTAATCATACAAATCTGTACCATTCGTTGTGTCATAAAATACCTCGTTTCCACAAAGATGGTTTTATCATAAAACTGTTATACAAAAATTCAAATTCGTTTTTGCCACATAAGACCTTATAATATAAGTTATTCAGAATCGTTTACATACATAATAGTGCATTTTTACTTTGTAGACGGTCAATAAAAGTATACATTGCAGGTGTTCGTTAAGTTTGAAAACCTATTTTTATATACTATTCGATTGAGCATCCACAAATTTTAAACACCGTCTATGTGGTTTATAGATTCTTAATAACATATTACAAAAAACCTATATAAACCCATAAACAAACAAACATAGATTTTAATCGTCGTGACTTTTGATTCGAGTTGAAATACTATTATTAAAATAGAAATAACTTTTCCAGTAAATGTGTTTATTTACAATAAGGTAAGCTTCCGCCGCCTACTCTGTTACGTTTGTTATCATAACTACCAGCAGGCTCCGAAAGTACCAAACTGAACTGAAGTGTCGCATTCGCATCGTTATATACCGTCCGAAGAGGCGTTTTTTAAGGAGGGACGGATACCCCTCCTAAATTATAGAAAATCTCACTGTGATATATTCTATCTTCCTACGTTCGTTTGCGCCAACCGTACGTTGTATATATATGTAGTTAAATAATGATAATATGTCATCATCGTATCGATCGCAAACAGACTAATTGTCTTAATTAAATTTTAACAAGGGATTATTATCTATACAACATAATTCGACCGCAGCACTTGTGTTAAAACATATATTATAATAATTCAAGTGCGTTTCGAATATTGCACAACTATAATCTAATTATTACGCGTAGTTGTTATAGTATATTATGGTTAATTTATTATTCAAGCAAAACAAACACGTACACTCACTATTATAATACCCTACATAACAATTTTTTTTAAAAAGTAGGATGTTAACATATAAAAGCGGACAGTGTAAAAAATTCACATTGTTCAAGTTCACTAGTTCAAAGTTTACCGTAACAAAAACAAACCTTATCTAAAACATAGTGAACGGTTGCGCGTATACATAGAAGTTCACATAGTTTAAATACATATCAAATGACTCATCACCGCAGTAGAGTCTGCTAAATGTATGTAACAGGTCATAAGAAAAGGTTAACCTCGATATGACTGACTAACGTTTCTCTAATTACTTAATGGTTTAATCTAGGAAAAACATTTTACTGAAAAATTATATTTTTACTTGTTACCTGAATTAAAAATGCGACCTATTGTTCATTGGTAAAAAAACTGAATTTACTTGCATATACGATTCCTGGCTTTAATATGTTGAGATAAATTGTAAAAAAAAAATGAAATTGATGTGTTTGATTTATATACACATCAAATAAACACACTATAATCCAATACTTACCGAAACGGGCTAATAAGGAGAAATGATGATATTATACACTAACAAAACGACATTCAATATCAACGGACTATTTCAAGTATTTATGTGAACACGATGGCTATAATATGCAACATTATGCGTTTTCATGGCTAGAAAATAAAATAAAATGAGGCGGTCGCGTTGTGCAACAAAATTGACGGTATTATTCTCACGTCGACGTTAAAAAAAGAAAAATAATTCGATTCGAAGAACAATCCTTTTGACTGCGCGTACAAACATAAAAAAAACAATGTAAATAGTTTTTAATGGTTCTATTATGTCGTACGCGATTCGTTAGCGGACGGCATAATATCCGAGTAAAAAATTCGGTCTTAAAACGTACTTGAGACACGATGGTAAACTTGCGAAATCGCTCTTTGACGAACGAAAAGTGTGTCAAACGAGAAACGACATTAAAACACGCGCTTAAGTCTATTCCAT